TCTCTCTGGCGCTGCTTTGCGGAGCTACAAGTGTGATCAACAACTATGCTTCGAAGGCTGGTTGTAGATCCTATTCTTGAGATGAAGAATATACAGAAAGCGTATTCGGCTTCTCAACAAGCTTTGGCCAAAAGCAAAGAGACTTAATCCAGTCTTGGTGAGACTATTCAATCGCTAGAAGCTGAGGTAAATCAATATAAAGAGCACTATCGCATCGTGGAGGGTCAAGTTCAGGTGACCAAGGAGGCATTGAGGGTCAAGGAAGAGGAAATGGAGGAGCTAAGGGTGAAGTCTTCACAGATGGAGGAGGCCTTAAGGGCCAAATCAACCGAGATGGAAGAAGCCCTGGCATGTGAAAGGCAGAGGGATGAAACCGACATGAAGGCTTTTACCGAAAAGTGTTCACAACAAGTTGCTTTTGAACATGAGTCTGGTTTCGATCATGCAATTCGTCAATGCCATGGATTCTGTCAAGTCCCGGCTGATTTCCATTTTGATATTACTAAAGACTTCTTCGACGGCAGGTTCATACCATATAATGAAGTAGATGATGATGTGGAACCTGATGCCGAAGCCCCTAGCTGAGCTGCCCATAATGAAAACGCTCCTGCTCCCGAGGCCCCCAGCCTTGATGCCGAAGAAGGGGAAACTTAGAACTTCCTTTTTTGATTTTCTTTGTATTCATGGGCCAGTAGTGCCTCAATTTTGTAATTCCACTTAATTTTGAAATATCATTTCTCTTTTTTCTTCAATTCTTGTACCATGTATTGGAAGCTTTAAATAACTCAACTAAATATAACTGAATGCTTGTTATATAATCTGACAATTATTCATAAAGATAATGTTTGTAAGGATACTCGAGAAGGAATTTTAAAGAGTCATCCTTGGCCGAGTAGGGATACTCGGGAAGGAAATTAAATTATGATTTATCCTTTACCGGGTAGAGGTACTCAGGAGGGAATTAATTCGGCCTTAGCCAAGTAATACTTGAGGAATTTTTAATAACGATTCATCCTTGGCCGAGTAGGTACTCGGGAGGGAAATTAAATGATTCATCCTTGACCGAGTAGGGGTTCTTGGGAGGGAATTTAAATAATGATTCATCCTTGGCCGAGTAAGGGTACTCGGGAGAGAATTTAAATAATTCAACCTTAGCCAAGTAACACTTGGGAGGGAAATTAAATGATTCATCCTTGGCCGAATAGGGGTACTTAGGAGAGAATTTTAATGATTCATCCTTGGCCGAGTAAGGGTACTCGGGAAGTAATTTAAATAATTCAACCTTAACCAAGTAATACTTGGGAGGGAATTTTAATAGATTCATCCTTGGCCGAGTAGGGGTACTCGGGAGGGAAATTAAATAATTCAAATGATTGCTTGAAAGAAATCTTGACGCATTAAATCCATAACTGAGAAGGAGTATTTTATTGATAAGGTGCCTTGTTAAAAACCTTCCCAGAAAAATCCCTTTTCACTTTCTTTTAAGAGGACAAAACCTAGGCGAAGAAAAGAGTACACCGGTTACAAATTACAAGTCTTTAACTAAAGTAATGTTTCAAGTGTGTCACATTCCAAGTTCTCGGTATAAGTTTTCCTTCCAATGTCTCTAACTTGTATGCTCCATTGTCTAATCTTGCCGCTACCCGTAAGGGTCCTTCCAAGTTAGCTGCCAACTTCCCTTCTCGCCAATCCCGTCGTGCATCCTCGGTTACTCGCCATACCAAGTCATTCTCATACAATTGTCTTGAGTTGATTTTGGAATTAAACTTCCTTGCCATCATTCTTCTGCTAGCCTCGGTCATAATGGCTGCTTGGCCACGTACCTCATCTATCAAATCTAAGTTGACAGCTAGAGATTCGTTATTGGCCGATTCTTCGAAGTTCTCCTTTCGGAATGAAGGTTCTCCAATCTCTACTAGCACCATGGCATCGGTACCATACGTAAGCCGAAAAGGAGTCTCCTTGGTGGTGGTTTACGGTGTGCACCGATAAGCCCATAGTACCTCGGGTAGCTTCTCTGCCCATTCTCCTTTTGCCGACCCCAACCTTCTTTTTAACTCACACAAGATGACTTTATTTGCAGCCTCAGCTTGGCCATTAGTTTGAGGATGTTCGACGGACGTGACCTTGTGTTTGATGTGGAACCCTTCCAAAAATTCATTGAATCGTTGATTTGTAAATTGCAGCCCATTATCTGTAATCAATGCATGAGGGAGGCCGAAACGTGTGATGATGTTCTTCCACATGAACTTTTGAACATTATTAGTTGTGATGGTAGCAAGGGGCTCAGCTTCAATCCACTTATTGAAATAATCCACGGCGACAATGAGGAATATACACTGCCTTTTTGCTAAGGGAAAAAGGCCGAGGAGATCCATACCCCAAATAGCAAAGGGCCAAGGAGAGCTGATAGAGCAGAGGGTGTCGGCATGTTGGTGTAGGTGAGGACTGTGTTGTTGACAGGGGATGCATTTGTTCACAAACATGTGGCTATCTTGGGTGAGTGTCGGCCAATAGTACCCAGCTCTGAGTATTTTTGCTGCCATGGTTCGTTCACCCGAATGGGTACCACAGATACCTTCGTGAATCTCCCTCATGACATAGCCAGCTTAGTCATCGTCAAGGCATTTAAGCATAGGTGTTGAAATCTCTCTTCTGTACAAGTCTTTGCCGAGAAGGAGGTATTTAGCTGCATGCATTCTTATTTTCTTAGCCGAGTCTGGATTATTTGGCAGGCTGCTATTGGTAAGGTATTGGATAATGGGGGTCATCCAATTGTGAGGCATATTTTCTACGTCCATGCACTCTTGTTTAGCTATGCTTGTTTAAGGATTTCTTGGTGAATTAAGCTTTTTAATTGCCCAGGTTTTCTTTGACTAGCCAACCTAGCCTATCAGCTTGTTCATTCATTGTTCTCGGTGTGTATCGAACACATACCTCATCGAATGCAGCTTCTATATTTTTAAATTCTTGGTAATATTGGAGCATGACCGAGTCCTTCACCTGATATGTTCCATTGACTTGTTCGGTCACTATCTTTGAATCACTCCAACATCTTTTGCCAATTTGAGACCGGCCAGTAGGGCTTCATACTCAGCTTGATTATTGGAAGCTTCGAATCCAAACCGAATGGATTGTTCAATTGTTACAGTGTTCGATCCTTCAAGTATAATTCCTACTCCACTCCCCAATTGGTTTGATGATCCATCAACATGCAGGTTCCACATATCCAAGCTGGTGTGTGGCTGAGCAGTAAATTCATTGACAAAATTGACAAGTACTTGAGCTTTAAGGAGGCGTCAGTTTTCAAAGTGTATATCAAATTGAGATAATTCTATCACCCATGCTACCAACCGACCAGCCAACTCTGGTTTTCTTAACACTTTGGACATTGGACAATCTGTGCGTACCACCACCCGATGACTCTGAAAGTAATGTCTTATCCGACAAGCTGTGTGGACTAGGGCGAGCACCACTTTCTCCATTAATTGATAACAAAATTCGGGACCTTGGAGTGTTCTGCTAATGAAATAGACTGGAGCCAGTTCAGGTGTTTCTTGTAACAGAACCGAACTAATGGCATTATCCGACACAGCCAGGTAGATAATCATCTCTTTCTCAGGCTTCAGTTTTGCTAACACGGGAGGTGCTGCCAGCATATTTTTATACTGGGTGAAAGCGGTCTCACATTCATCAGTCCAAGTGAATTTTTGAGATTTTTTGAGCAAGTTAATGAAAGGCCAAGATCTTTCTGCCATTACAGGAAGGAATTTGGAAAGGGCAACAATCCTGCCGGCAAGTCGTTGAACTTCCTTGACATTCCGAGGACTGGCCATGTCGATGATAACTTGACATTTATCAGGGTTTGCTTCGATCCCTCTTTCGGATAACATGAAACCCAAGAATTTACCGCTAGCTACTCCAAATGTACATTTTTCAGGATTGAACCGCATCCCATGTTGTCGAGTTTGACTGAATACCTCTTTTAAATGCATGAGGTGGTGTTCTAATTTAGTAGATTTGATCACCATGTCGTCAACATATACTTCCATGCATTTTCCTATTTGTCTCTCAAAAATTTCATTCATCAACCTCTCGTAGGTCTCCCCCGCATTCTTCAAACCAAAGGGCATTACTCGGTAACAAAAATTAGCAGAGTCAGTGATGAATGCAATTTTTTCCTCATTCGGTGGATACATTCAGATTTGGTTATACCCAGAGTAGGCATCTAAGAAACTAAACATTCTGTGGCCTGCTGCACCGTCTACTAGGGCGTCAGTGTTCGGGAGAGGGTAAGCATCTTTTGGGCATGCTTTGTTTAGATCTGTGTAGTTGGTACACATTCGCTATTTGCCGTTTACTTTTTTTACCATGACTACATTGGCCAACCAGGTAGAGTATTTAACCTCTCGGATAAAACTGTCCTGTATTAACTTAGCAGTCTCCTCCTTTACCGCTTTCGCTCTGTCGCCTCCCAATTTCCTTTTCTTTTGTGCTATTGGTTTCGCTACTTTATAAACCGAGAGGTGATGACAAAGAAATGCTGGGTTAATTTCGGGCATGTCTGAAGTTGACCAAGCAAATAGATCAGCATTTCGTATCAATGTTTTCTGGAGCTCCCGTTTTTCTTGGTCGGATAGGCCGACTCCCAAGTAAGTAACCTGCTCAGGCTTCGGTCCAAGCTGAAAAGGTTGCTTATTTTCATTGGGCTTAACTCGACACCCTTCGTCAATCCTAGGATCAAGTTCAATATTTAAGTCCTCCCCAGACCTAGGGGTGACATTGTTGACATCTTGTCTGTAGTTTTGGAGTGGTTTGATGCGTAGGCTTGCAAAATAGCACTCCCTCGCTGTCTTCTGATCAACATGAACTGTGACTATTCGGCCCCTTTCGGATGAAAATTTCATAATCAAATGTGGAGTAGATACTATGGCTTTAAGTTTGTTAAGGGACGGCTTGCCGAGTAATATGTTGTACGAGGTATTTGCGTGAACTACCAGCTACGTGACCTTGATGCGCTTTCCTTCATGCTCTGATCCAAATGACGTGTAAAGGTCAATACACCCATGAGTCTCCACCCGTTCTCCTGAAAAACTGACTAGGGGTTCATGGTATTCTTTGAGTTCCTCTTCTGGTATTCCAAGTTGCTTAAAAGTATTCCAGTAGAGGATGTCGGTTGAACTCCCCTGATCAATGAGTGTTTTCCAGACAGTGCAGTTGAGAATGTCTATACTTATCACCATTAGGTCATCTTTTACAGGGTCCACTCCTTGAAAGTCTTCATCAGTAAATGTAACAGGGGGGATCTGAATCCTACTACCAAGTGAGATATTGTTGACTGATCTGACTTGTCTCAAATGTCTCTTTCTGGCCGAATGGGTAGGTCCTCCACCGGCAAACCCTCCAACTATGGTATTAATGACCCTTTTAGGATACTTCTCACGTTCATCGTATCGTCTAGTTGAGGGCTCCCTAGATCTACTCTTCTGTCGTTCAAGTCTTTTGTCATCGTATCTCCTTGATGACTCAGGGTAACGGTCTCTTCCTCTATTGGATTGACCGACGAGGTTTGTCTGCACAAAATCTTTTAAATGTCCTTACTTGATTAATTCTTCAATTTTATTCTTCAGCGTTGTGCACTCCTCAGTAATGTGACCCCTATTTTGATGGTAGCGGCAAGCCTTGCTTTTATCTGCCCGAGGAGGAGTGTTGGCGCGTCTATGCATTTTCAGTATTTCTGTGGCCAATGCCTGATCAAGTACTCTAGACCGATCAGTGTTGAGCGTAGTGTAGGAAGGATATTTGGGTCCCCTAAGCGGCCTTTCAAGTTCATTTCTTTTCTCCTTATTTTCCTGCCTAGACTTGAAAGTTTCTCTCCTATCTGTATTTTTTGAATTGGACCCCCGGTCCATCCGTACCTGGTTTCGGTACTCGAACAATTCCTCTATCTGCATATACTTTGCAGCCCGACTTCTCAACTCGTCTAGGTCAGCAGGTGGTTTCTTGCAGATGTTGTTAACAAAAGGTCCTGGCTTAAAGGCTGTTGTGAGGTGGTGCATAGCCACTGCTAGTTCCAAGTTATGGATCGAAAGGCTCACTTTGCCGAAGCGCTCCATGAATGCTCTAAGTGATTCTCCCTTTTCTTGCCTAATATTGACCAGCGCCAAGGATGTTAAGGGATGAGGTCGGCTTGTGGCGAACTGCAAGCTGAACCGTCTTGTGAGGGTTGCAAAAGAGTTGATGGATGAAGGAGGAAGTCCGGTGAACCAACTAAGGGCTGGTCCTCGAAGTGAGGTGGGAAAAATCCTACACCATAAAGAATCGTTCTCGGTGTACAAACCGACCTGAGTTATGAAGACGTCCAAGGGTTCCCCAGGATCAGATGTGCCATCATATTTTTCTATTGTTAAGCCTCTCCAGTTGTCGGGTAGCATAGCTTCCAAGATGTGGTGAACGAATGGGCTCCGACTCACAAGATCGTCTCGATCATTTTTGGCTTCAGATTAAAAAACCTGCTTTGATTTCTCCTGCAACGCCGAGGATTCCCCTTGATCCTGGACGAAGGGTGTCGTTTGGGAAGGGATGTGTGTTCTTATTTCTTCTCTCAAGTTAACATTTTCCTTTCTTAGAGCCGAGAGATCCAGTGCATCCTTTTCTCTCTCCCTCTTCATCTCCGTCATTTCTGCTTTGAGCTGTCTTAGTACAGCTAAGAGACTCTCGTCAGTTCCTTCTTGCATCACAACTTCAGGTGTTGGTTCATCTGGTGTAACACTCTCCAACTGTTGCCGAGAGGTTCCTCCCTGTTGAGCATGTCCTTCCTGTTGGTTTCTCGTTAGTACCATGATTAATCTGAAAAATGAGGCTAATCGTGCCCCACGGTGGGCGCCAAAATGTTCTTGCTTGGAAAACACTAATCTTCAAGTCTCTGATTTGTAACGATGACATCTCTCTAACTGTTGCTGACGTGGGAGGGTACCTGCAAAAGGCACTCCGATGCTGAAGTTAGGAGTCGATTCTAAGCAATAAATGCTATTTTATAATGAAAGTCAACCTTTTACCTGTACTTCTTACCTTTCTTTTATAGGCTTTATTATGGGCTAATGGACCTGATGAGTCAACCTTGATTTTGACCCTTTACTTAAAGTAGATAATGCTCTGATTATTACCTTTAACTGAGTTAATTACTTTTTAATCCTGATAACAAGATATTCGGCCAAACTGGATCGAATAGGTATTCAGTTTCCTTTTTCTATATATAAGACCGAGCAGTTCCCTATCCAGTACATGATTGTTTGAGGGATTGAAGAAGGTTGAAGCAATGAATGAGGGATTGGTGGAGTAAGGTGAAGTGTGAATAAGGTTATGCCATAAGAGAGATGAAAGAGAAAGGAATAGTGAGATTGAAGATCTTCAAATGCTTTCTTCATATTCTTTCTTCCTATTAACGATATTTAATGTAGTTGAAATAGTCTTTAGTGTAGCCAATTTTAGAGACTAAAATGTTTAAGGGTGATAATCTTATTGACTAACATTGATTAAAAATATATTATACCATATATAACGTCATTTTTTCTACATAAACAATCATACATGTCATTTAAGCATTATATTACTATTTACTAACGGTGTTTGAGTTTAGAAACTAAAATGTTCGATGGAGATAAAAATTTGACACTAGCGTAACATTTTTAAAATTTTAGGAATAAAAATGTTATTATCTCAAAGACTAAAATAAGAGTTTAGTCTAAAGTGAAATGCTTCTAAACTTCTAATGACTCAATATACTACCAAGACAATTATCCTATCTAAGGCCTTACTTAAAAATCGACACATGTAACCTCAACACTTCATACACTCACATTAGAGAATCATATTGCATTGGTCACACATTTAACGCCCAAAACTAGACTCTATAATCTTTAATACTCCTTCTGCTCCTTTTTATAAGAAACAAAAGACTAAATTATCAAGAGTAAGAAAAGCAATTAATTTTGTATGTTTTTCATAGATATAAATTTTATTCCAAAAATAACCATAATATTAAATGGTGTAGTTAGTAATTTATATATTTAATAATACTAATAAAAAAATTTAACAATTAATGTATCTTGAATCTATCATTTGTTTTTTATAATAAGAACAAAAAAAATACTTTATTTTGTTTGTTATAAACAAACCAGAGGAAGTAGTTTACATCTAGTTAAATAGGAATTGTTACTATATTCTAGATATTACTTATGTATGCATATAAGGTTATGAGGTACATATATTATTTTATTATTATACTCTACAAGTGTAAACACTTATTTGAACGTTTGAGTGCTTTTATATATATATATATATATAGATCAAATTTTTAATTTATCGATTAGGTTGATAAAATTTAATGTTTATAAAAATTTATTAGACGTAATAATTTTTATTAGAGCTATTCTTAAACTAACTTAATTTCTATTTAACATTTAAATAAAATTTTTCATTAGATAAATAAATAAAAATAAAGATAATACAATAATAAAATTTTGCTTATTCTGTATATACCATTTTTTTTGTGCTCATTATCCCTACTTTATAAGAATCAATTTCCCTCAAAACACAGGAGGATACTAAAAGTGAAGCAGGAATTCAAACAAATCAGACCGTACTTCGCCATTTTGTGAGAAATTAACCTTTTTCCATTTGACCAACTCCTATAAGATTAAAATTTAAAATAATTTTTTTTATAGATACTCAAGGATACACAATAATTTTTTTAAAATAATACATTTTAGTATAATTATAAATTATAAATTTATTAAATTGATACTAGTAAATGTTATAATTTTTAGTAAAAATATTATTTATTAACTTTTAATTGTGTTTCCTTAAGAACATATTAAAAAATCATAATAATAATAAATTTTAAATTTATAAAATTTTTAATTAAATTATTTAATGGAAACTTTGAATGCAATAATTAAACTAATAAAACTTAATATATATAATGATACTTGAAAATGATTTAGTGTAGAGCAGAATAAATATCCCATGGAAACAATCATTAATCTTTGAATGATTTTGGATGAGCATTTTTAAACATGCTTATGTCGTTGACCACTTAAAAATTATTATTCCCTCTTAAATGTTGTGTCAGCTAATCTTGAATCATTTTTGTTGACCATCCATTTTTTTTTTAAAGTTGACCATCCGTTCTTAAATGGTCATTTATCTTCGGCAATACTCGTTATCGTCTAATCATGGAGAAAACTAGTCCTTTTATTTATTTATATAAATAGATATTTATTATTTCAGTCTTTTATTTTATTTTATTTTATTTTTTGTTAATTTTAAACGGATGAGTTTAAGCATTTATTATTCAAAAAATTATTAAAAAAATACATATTTATTATACTAAAAAATTATTAAAATAAAATAAATATTTAAATTTTAATAAAAATTAATATTATTAGTTGTTTATTATAGAGCTCAGGTTAAGAAATTAATATTATTAGTTGATGCAACTTAAGTAATTTTTCTAGAGTATATTTAAGAGTTAAAATTTAGGATAGGAGAAGAGATTAAACTTTTTATTTTTAACTAAACCTTTATTTTAGTCTTTGAAATAGTATGTGTTAGATATTTTAGTCATTGATATTTTTAAAATATCATATTTGTGTCTCACTTTTGTCTCTATTTATCATTTTATTTCATTAAACCACTCACTCTTAAACTCACATTAATAAAATGCTAATGTTTCAAATTAAATGACACATATGATTGATTAAATAATAAAAATAACGTCGTATAAAATATAATATTTTTATTTAGATATTTTAATTTATGAAATTTTCACTTGTTAAACATTTTACCTTCCATCTATCTACTTTTCTTCTTCTTAATTCTTTTACTACCACAATTGGCAGCCACAATATGAGGATATTTCTTGTTCACAATTTTTAACCCATAAAGCTTTATCGTGAGTTGTGAAACTATAATATTTTCTTTTTCCTTCCTTCACCACAAATATCTTACTATGAAAACTTAGTATCAACCTACATGGAAGCATCGTGGTCCCTTATTACTCTTTCAATTTTGACCCAAATAACAAAATCTAATGTTGATACGAATAAATTTTTTTTCAACTTTCAACGTAGCCACATTCTCAATTTTTATATTTTTAACTTCTTTCAGTAGTTTTTTCCCATTCAATTCAAACATATATACCCTCCTTGTAAAATTTAGAAAATTTGTTTTTCCTCGTAGTGATGGCATTAAAAGCTTCATTGAAACTCAAGATAAAAACTTTATTGAACTCTTACATGGTTTTTTCTATGCATTGAACCTTGAAACATGCCAAAAGTCTCTTTTGAGGAAAAGTTTGAGAATTTTGTGTGATGAGTGCTGAAATCCACTTGCTAGTAACGAGTACATTAACACAAAAGTTGTTCTAAGAGTAAGGTTTCATTTTAAAGGTGATAAATAACAAGTAGAGAAATATTCATAAAAATTTAAAGTAAAAAATCTTAAAACCACCGTTATTAGTGGTAAAAAATGTAGATAGTAGTCAATAATAGTGAGTTTTTGTGATAGTAGTGTTAGAAAGATGATAAAGAAGAAGAATAATTAATAGATAAAATATTTTAAGAAATATAGATTAAAATATTTAACGACCGACGAGTGACAATTTTATATAATTAAATATCTAAAAAATATACCATATCATATAATATAATTTTTATCATGTAATCAATCATACATCTCACTTAATATGATATGTTAATGTTATGTTATTATATATTGACGATGTCTAAATTTAAAGAATAAAATTTTTGATAGAAATAAAAATTATAAACTAACGTGACATTTTTAAAATTTTAAAAATAAAAATATCTGCATACTATCTTAGTTTTTTATTTTTAGTACAATATTTTAATTTAATAATTTTAAAATAAAAATATTAATTTAATTTTTTTAATATTCAAATTTTTTTATAAATATTATGTAATCATGTAAATTTAAAAACGATATATTATTATTATTATTATATTTTTTTTTGTTTAAAACTTCACTTGCAAAAACTTCCCCAATCAAATGTGGAGGAATCCAATCCTACCATCTCAAATTATTTTCCCTAATCTCCTGTTCTCACCTCCTAGACCTATTTGATCGGAAGCAATTCATCAAGTTCAATACCTCTAGATTACTCACCATCTCTTTTGTATATCAAGCTCCAATAAATTTACCCACACGGTTTCTTTAACTAGCTGCAATCACCCAATGAAGTGTGTGCCTATTTCTGATATTACTCTGCCTATACAAACACTAATTCGGACGTTACAGTGCCACTCTAAACCTTATTCAACATCCTATTATTAGACTAACTAAATATATACCAAATCCCAAGTACACTAAAAACTGAAAAATATTTATTTTTTTATAAGAAATAAATAAATATTGTTTTGAACTAATGATTGAGATATTTAATATATTTTTTTTATAATAATCTTTTTTTTTTCAAAAACATACTTTAAGTCTAATGTAAAACAAATTATTTAACAAAAATATAAATCAAAACAAATATAATATATTTTATATAAATTTTTGAGGTAATTATTGAATTGATAAGATTTAATATTTATAAAAATATATTAAAAACCTAATTTTCTCAAATTTAATACTTAATATCAATCTTATTATAATATTATTTAATAGCAGCACACCACTTTACAGAACATACAAACAAGAAAAAGCAAAGGAAACGTATCTGGCAAACAAGGAAAGAAAAAACCACATCAAAACAGTTGAAAGCAATGCCAAAGAAAGTGAAAAACTAAATATAGTTTTAGTTCTAATTTTACGTGGTTTTGATTTTTTATTTTTTTAATAATTGCTATTTTTATAATTTTATTTTATTAAATTAATCTGTATTACTGATTAATAATAATGTAACACACACACACACACACATATATATATATATATATATATATATATATATATATATATATATATATATATATATATCAACAACATATTTAACATGACAGAATTAAGCGTGTGTTTAGACATGCAGTAAATATACGATAAACAGAAGTTGCAAAAGCTATTATGCAAAATATTAAAATGCGTATATTCAAATTAAAATTACATGGAACTAAACAGGGTATAAATGTGCTTCATTTTATTATTGAGTAATAATATGAACTATTAAATTTTAAAATTATGAAAATGAAGTTAGTGAAGTTTTTTAAAATATTAAAATCATAGTAAATTATATTGACAAAAATCAAAACATATTTTACCAATAAAAAAAATTGGGAAGGAATGACGCATGGGTTGAGAATGATAGTGCCCCATGCCAGCCACAGCCCATTTTCCTTCTCTGAATATGCGCTGAAAAAAGCATTAAACTTTGAGAAAACAAGAACTAGAAACTAGGTGAGGTTGGGTTTCCTTTTTGAGGGAACACATAACCATTAAGATAAGGAACTGCACTTTTTTATTTTTATTTGGTTTAGCTTTGCTTGTGAAGTTGGCTTCGTTTTCTGCAATTCCCACTTCACGAAGCCAAACCCTGCGTCACCCCAAAAACTAACACAAAGCAAGAAGAAAAAAAAAAAAAGGAAAAAGAAAAACAAATTTTGTTCTTAAAAAAAAGTAAAGCAAAAAATAAAGCAAGATATTATTAATATTGTTGCTATTATTATTGTTACAGTTTTTCATTTGTCTTGTCCCTTTATTTTTCGATTGGATCTGAGGCTCTTCAGAGTTGCAGAAAGGCACACGCCAAAGTTGCTTCGCTTTCTTGGAGTGTGGTTTCGCTTCTCTTTGTTCTAAGCACACACAACTTGTTCCATAGCGATGGAAGAGGCTTTCTTGCTCTGCAATTGCATTGCCATTTTTCTACTTTGATCGGGTATGTATCTGCTCTTTTACTTGCTCTACACATACCCTTTTGTTCCCTTTCTTTATGGAGTGACTTTTAATCACTGTTCATGGAGTACAATCCAAGAAAAACTGAAGTTGGCTTCCAAAGAATATGAAAAAGAGAAAAAGTTTAACTTGGGTTTTGTTACAAGTTAATGCATTTTTGGACTCAAAAGCAAGGAAGGGTGTTGGTTTTTGCCAAGTTGTGGAAGTGGTTTTGTTTTGTGTCGTGTTGATCAGAGAAGAACTGGATTTCTTTGGTAAATTTGTAGCAAGACAGAAACTTTGCACTCTGAAAGCCTTTGAGTTTTCTTTCTTATGGGTTAAAGGGGTTTGCTTTGTCTGATTATGATGCTTTGCGTTTGGGTTCAGCCGTTTTCTGTCTAATGGTAATGGATTCAGTTCGGTTGAGTGGTTTTCTGGGGATTGTGTCTCCTATGGGTCTCTTGCACAGTTTCTGATATTTTTCTTTATTTTTGGGGTTTGAATTTCACTCTGGGTCATTTTATTTTTATAAAATTTCAACTAGTGTAATTGTGCTGTGTTATTCTTTTTTTCTTCTTTTTTTAAATAAAAAATGTTTTTGTTGAAGGGGATTTCGTTAATGTTAGTTTAGTCTCTGCGCCTTTTAAATGAGCACATCTCTATGATTCACTGTGCTGAGTTGGATTTTGCAGCTAATTAAGGATTTCTCTTAATGGAGTCAACTGTTGATGGACTTGAGTCTATATCAGACGTTCAGAATTCAGTTTCTGTGATAGAGCATGATCCTCCTTCCACTTCTGGGATTCCAAGATCTTCTCGGCCTCCATTAAGAGCATCTAAAAATAACGGGGCTTCTTCTAGTCACCATAACTATGGAATGAAGACCATCCTCCATCAAAAGCATGCTTATCATGAGGCTCACGATGTTGAACATGATAAAATGCCCAACATGGAAAAGCCGGATTATAGCACTAATGGCAAATCTGACTATGTGAGCCTTAATAAAGATGTTGAAAGTTGCTTAGGGAAGAATATTTCCACAATGGAAACAAAATTAAGCATCAAACAATCATTTGATGCTTCCAAGAATTGTGATTCTAGTGGTGTATTAGAATCTGATAATTGCAAATTAGGTTCCTCAAAAGGAGTTGTTGATGAAACAAAGAGTTGCTGTCACTCAGAGATTACTTTCTGTCCAAGTCCTCAGAATAGTTTCTATTCAGAAGCCAAAGAAAGTTTCACCAATACTGGAGTCAGTGAATGTGTTAGTGTTGATAAGTCAGTTGAAAGTGGAGAAGTTACTAATTCCTGTGAATTTAATGAGAGCCGGAAGACCAGCATCTATAGAGGGAGTACTGGAAGTGACGTTAGTGATGAGAGCAGCACCAGTAGTTTGACCAGTGCTTTGTATAAACCCCACAAGGCTAATGACATAAGATGGGAAGCAATTCAAGCCATCCGAGCTCGTGATGGGGTGTTGGAAATGAGGCATTTCAGGTTGTTGAAGAAATTGGGATGTGGAGACATAGGAAGTGTATATCTGGCTGAGTTAAGTGGCACAAGGACTTGTTTTGCAATGAAAGTCATGAACAAAACCGAGCTGGCAAGTCGCAAGAAGCTTGTTAGGTCTCAGACAGAGAGAGAGATATTGCAGTCTCTAGATCATCCATTTCTACCCACATTATATACTCACTTTGAGACAGAGACATTCTCCTGCTTGGTAATGGAGTTTTGCCCTGGTGGGGACTTGCATGCACTCAGGCAAAGACAACATGGGAAGTATTTCTCAGAGCATGCTGCCAGGTTAGCAATTCCTTTATTTTTCCTGCTTGGCCCTGCAATTCTGCGACATATAACATGCAGAACTGCTGACACATGGATGAGCAGCAAGGACCTGTGAACCTGATATTAGAAAATTCTGTATTCCTTGGATTTATTGACAGATGTTTCGTGGTACCAGAAAGGAAACTATATTGTTTAATGTTTTAGGAAAACGCTTTCTTCCGAGAATAAGGGTTCAGTTAAGGTTTTTACAATAACATAAATGAAAACCTGGGACTGTCACAGCCTGCTTCGTATCCATTTTGCCTCAAGGACCATTAGAAATTTTACATTTTGACATACGTCACTAATGGTCATTCAGTTATGGCTTCAAATCCCTAGCTTCCTAGAAGATCCATGTATTTGGCAAAGCATGGCCTGAGATATCTAATTAGCCAAGTATTTGTTTCTTTTCCACTCTCCTTACCAAATTTGATAAAAGTATGCTTGCTTGCATGCTCCACCTTTTCTTTTTCTTGCCTGCATTATTACTTTAATTCACTGATTCTTCCATTTTTCCTCAATGGTGACATTCTCCATGAACTCCGTGCACTTAGTGCTAGCGGTCTTACAAATTGCCATTTTCTTGTTACCTTTCACTTCAATACCTGTGAATGTAATGTTTCTTGGTTACCTTTCATATACACTTTTATAATGGCTTTTCTAAGAATTAACCTGATTTTCTGTGTAATAAATATCAATATTTGGTCTTCTCTTATGCAAGTAACTTGTATCTGTTGGTGGTCATCAATAACTTTAGCACTTGATTTACTGCTAAGAATAATCCTATATCAGTTCATCTGGTCTCTCTCTAATAGCTTGCTAGGGGAAAGTCCCTCTCAATCCTAAAACCTGCATTAGCTTTGTGGCTGAATGTTTTAAGAAGTGCCAGAGACTGTACAACTAAGCAACCTTTCATTAATCTGTACTATGCAGGTTTTATGTGGCGGAGGTTCTCCTTGCTTTGGAGTACCTGCATATGCTTGGGATCATCTACCGAGACCTTAAACCCGAGAATGTGTTGGTGAGAGAAGATGGTCATATAATGCTATCAGACTTTGATCTCTCTCTAAGGTGTGCTGTCAGTCCAACTCTGGTGAAGTCATCAAACTCTAGCTTGGAGACCAAAAATGCAGGATACTGCATTCAACCAGCCTGCATTGAGCCAACTTGTGTAATGCAGCCAGACTGCATCCAACCTTCATGTTTCACGCCACGTTTTCTATCTGGAAAATCCAAGAAAGAAAAGAAGTCCAAACCAAAGAATGACGTGCAAAACCAGGTGACCCCTCTCCCGGAGCTCATTGCCGAGCCCACAAATGCTCGATCAATGTCCTTCGTGGGTACACACGAGTACCTGGCACCTGAAATCATCAAAGGCGAAGGGCATGGCAGTGCAGTAGACTGGTGGACATTTGGGATATTCTTATACGAGCTCTTGTTCGGTAGAACACCATTCAAAGGTTCAGCAAACCGAGCAACACTATTTAATGTTGTTGGTCAGCCCTTAAAATTTCCAGAATCCCCTACTGTCAGCTTTGCTGCCAGGGACTTGATCAGGGGTTTACTGGTGAAAGAGCCTCAGCATAGGCTCGCCTATAGACGTGGAGCTACAGAGATTAAGCAACATCCATTCTTTCATAATGTTAACTGGGCACTGATCCGTTGTGCAAATCCTCCAGAGGTTCCAAGACAGGCCATGAAAGCACTTGCAGCTGAAAAGGTGCCTGGTGTGAAGCCTGCTGGTAACTATTTAGATATTGATTTCTTTTGATTCTAATGTCTGTTTTCTCCTTTGAACTAATTTCCATCTTTTATTTGTGTTGTTTGTCAATGGTTCTTTCCGTTGTATAAAATGATGCAAACAACTACATTGATGAACGCTTGTAATTGTCCATGATAAACTGTTGTAAGAAACTCTAAAGTGCATTAAATTGAGTAGCAAAGTTTCTGGCCTCTTTTTTTGTCCTATTACTTAATATTTTTTGTTATATTTGTACTCTTTTTTTAAGGCAAAATTATACTTTTGATCCTCTATATAATTGAATTGAATTGTAGACTTATTATCATATTACACCCTAAACACCAAACCTAGCACCCAAGTGACCATCGCATCTCACAAAAACTGCCACCATCGTTGAACAACCATCTTTACCGAAAACCATTTTAGTCCTCACTGGTTACAAGCCACCACCAACCATCGACATTCACTGAATTCCATCATAAGATTGTTGATGTTGATGTCGACGACCACCACATAGATCGAGACCCTTGCACCAAAATCACTCACCATTACAGTAGAACCATGCCTGTGCCAGTGAGATCCAACAAACCCTGTTTCTCTACTATCATTAGAAGACACCAAAATATTGAAAAATGTGGTGTTAAGCTCTAATGATTTTTAATGCATTTCAAATGTGATTTTTAATAAAAAAAAATTAATAATTCTATAATAACTACCCGTGGATATTTGTTAACAAGATTCTAGTTTGAAATAAAAACTCACAAGAAACGTGTTACAGAATAAGGTCATAAATGAAAAAGATATATAATTGCTTGAAAAGAATAAATATGAAAATTACCTCGATTTTAAGAATAAAGGCTTGTGATTTTAACAACAACGGTAAACAATGTTGAGATCAGTTTTCCACGTATACTAGAACCAAATCCCCATTGTAGCCAAAAGATACATCACGGAAATTTTCGCAAGAATGTGGGGATGCTTACACGCCTTCAAATCCTGTGTAATGTGTAGCGTGTACCATACTCACAAGGTAGTGAAGGTACTTGCCTTGTATACCACTAATTCATGAACATGATTTCAATGTGAGAAAATGATGGACAGAAAATATTTTTCTATTTTTTTGTGTACCAAGGCAAGGGATGGTCTTGAATTTTCACTTCTCGAGTTCGCTCCTTCAGGTAGCACTAGAGTAATCAATTCCCTTAAACGTTCGAGGCCAGCCAATAAGCGTGGACCTTTATGCTTTGTTTGGTTAGAAAAGAAAAAAAGGAAAAAATATTTTTATTTATTTAAACCTTTTTTCCAAATTTTCCTTTTAATCTTAACTTATTTATTTTTCTTCCGTCTTATCAAATAAAGGGTTAATGTCGACATGACAGTTAAGATTGTTTCTATTTTTTTCTTTGACTTTTAACATTTTTAATGTTGCATGCCATCTTAGTTTTTATTTATCTATCTAAAGAAAAGAGTAAAAGTTATTATTCTTTATCTGTTTGTGTAAAATTTTAAGGTAATATTAATAAAAATTCTTTTACTAATGTCCTTTTCTTTGTATAAAATATTTATGCTATTTACATGATGTGTTATGGTTACTTTTTTAAGAGTCTATTGCCACTCATACTCCTTTTTCTTCCCTTATAATCATATTAACAATAATAAGAAGAGTACTTTAAATAAAAATTACTTAAATAAGAGTAGTACTAGACATATACGAGTGACAATAGACACTTGCCTATTTAGATAGTTTAAGACTGAAAAACTAATCTATTAATATAGGATAAATTAGTGTATATAATAATTAATTATAATAAAATAACTATAATTTTGAAAAATATTAGTAACATATTTTGCATCACTCTGCTTGTAATTGGTTAATTTTTTTGAAAAAAGGTCAAAGCATTTGGCTTATAAATCGATCATTATGTTAAATTATTAACTTTTTAAAAAAATTGATATTGTAAGGAGTATACAAAAAAGTACATTCAAAAGAGTGTACTGCTAATATTCTTCATTATTCTTTATTTTGTATAATATCTTCTGGATAAATAAAAGAGAGATGCTAAATATACTTTCTAATACACTCTTCCTCACAAAGCTCTTTATCATGGATACAATTTATTGAGAATTATAAAATTATGATATCTAATTAAATAATTTTATTTCACGTACACGGAAAAACACCACCCCATAGTATCTTTATGTTTCAAGCCTATGAATCACGCTACAGTGTCCATATGTTAAGCTTATGAGCCACCCTACAACAATAATTTATCTTGAATCAAACTTCACAAAACTTAGTTATTATTTATAATGCATGTCAAGGTTCACTTAACTCCAAAATAGACATGCATAATGATCTCTTAAGTTTCATTTCTTTAGTATATAAAATTTCTTTAAAGAAAAGTTTCATCCCTCTAACGTAAAAAACTCTTTAAAAGAAATTATTCATTAACGTGAAACTAACGATGACGCAACAAAAAAAGTTAACTATTATAAAGATAATATTATTTAATTTTAAAAATATTAATAGATTAAATAGATTAATAGATTAATAATATTAAATATTATAATTTTTAAATAAAATTTATTATTTATTAATTTCTTATTATAAATTTAATATAGATATATTAATAGTAGTATAAAGTTTTTTTACATTGTTTCTCAATAACGAATTGTTATAAAAGCAAAAATCATTAATTTTTGCAAGAATTAATATACAAATTATATTCACATCATATTTGCATTTATAAGAAAATTAAAGTTTTTATTATATATTATTTTACACAAATTATAAAATATTAATTATATCCTAATTAATGCTAATAATAATAATAGCATTAACAAAATAACATTTTCTTTAAATGAGAACCCAATTTATCATGTATTTTTCTATGACCTTACGTGTACTAAAAGTTAGTATCCAGGTGGATCTCCTTTAATGACTTTCACTGATTTATTGAACAGTGTACTATACTTTCTCCTCTTCTTCTTCTTATTCTAGTCTACATTCCCATCATTATAATCCTCTTACTCGTAACAACTTTCCCTGTCAAAATCTTCATCAAACCTTGAGTTGTAGTTGCTAATTTCAACAATGTCCTCTTGCTAGGCCTCATTGTTGATCACCTCCATGCTCGATGTCTTCGCAGCCTCCACACCGTATGTACACCAATAATGTGAAAAAACTAGAGAGAGGAGGGATGTAAGAAATTTTTTTAGTAATTTTAAAAGGTTAAGAAATTCAAGTGTTTTTGGGCATGGAGATCTGAGAGAAGAAAAATAATAATACAAAAGTAATGTAATATAGTAAGCATTAGATCTAAAGAAAGAGAGGAGAGAGGAAATTATCACTGGCAAGGGCAAGTGCACACCCTAAAACTTAGTTCTATATATTTTTAAGGTTAACAAATTATATTTTTTATTACTTGCATTTAGTCTTCTTATATTTTTATTTGTTCAAATTAAGTTTTTTATTGTAATTTTTATTTAATAATTAACAAAAAATAACAAAAATGTTTATAATATTAATCTATACAAATTTACAAATATATATATATATATATATATATATATTCTTATAAATTTAATTAATTATATTTTCATTAATTCATGCAATGTTTTGCACTATTTGTGTGGTTTTTCTCTACCTTTCATTATTATTTATTATTCATTATAGAAAAACATGTATAGTGTTTTGTATTCCATAAACTATAAATTTATTTTAAGATAAAATTTATTGTAAAATAAATACTTTCAAAATTTTATAAAATTCATATTAGCTAACTAATTTTATAATTTTTAGAATAGGTTTAAATTAGACATTTCAAGTGAGTAATTTATTTTTTAAGGTTAAAATTTGTTATTTGAATATTTAATTTTAAAAATGTAAGTAATTTAATTACTCTATCTAAACAAAAATATTTGATATAAACAAAATTCAATTATTTTATCTATACAAAATATTTTAAAATAATTAAAATTTAAATGATATATTTTAAATTTTTAAAAATTTTAAATTCTCTAAAATTTTAATCCCTCGTCTAAATACAACTTAAAGCTATAACTGTGACTATAATTTTTATATAACGCCCAAGGTAGCAGGAGTAAGAATTGGACCCATTGAGGCATAATAAATTTTTTAATATTTTTATCTTCTTCTTAAAACATTAATTAATATTTTTAATACATAAATTTTCTTTTTAGAAATAAAATGACAAAAAATATTATTTTATAATAAATAAATATTTTTAAAATTATAAAAAACTACACATTTAATTTGAAGTAAGAATTAAAACAAATACTCTCAAATACTATACGTTTCTTATATATAAATGACTCCTAAATTTAAATTTAATTTTAGGAGTAATTCTTCTAATTTTAAAAATATTTAACTATATTTTTAAATTTAGATGGTTTTTTTACATATAACTCTATTGTGTCAATAATAATAATAAAAAAGAAGAAGATAACAATGAAAACATATTTAAAAGATTTAATCACTCTTAAAATATAATTAGTTTCTAACTTAAATCTAAAGCTTTTAACCACTCAACTAATATCTTTTTATCGGGTAAAAAAATTATATTTTAATATGTATTATATTATTTTGTTTGAATATAATAAAAAATTAACTTAATATAACAAAATATTTAATATATGTAAAAAATTATTAAAATAAATTTATATAATAAAAATATTTATGGAGATAAAATATGATTTTTGTTTATTAATAGGTAATATAATCAATTTAATTTAAAATGTTATTTTATTATATTTATTTTGAATTAAATGTATTATATATAAATAAAATTATCAGCCGTTGGATCACTGGCTCAACAGCTGGTCCAAATTTAAATAGATAGATAATAACTGACTTGCGTTACAAATGCTACTAATGTACTCATGAAATAAACTCTATTTAGAGTTTAAAGATAAAAATCAACACCATCGTTTACATTAACCGTAAATAAAAGGACTTTGTTTTAGAATCAATTTAAGATATCAAAGTAAACGTGTCCCAATTTCGTGTCTCACACAAAAAAATGATTTAAGAATGCAAAGAATTTGATTTATGGTTTAAGAATCATAAACGTTATAATCTTAAGACTAACATAAACATTATTTACAATTCTTAAAACGAAGTTGATTTTTTCTTAAACATTTTTAGATATTAATTATTAATATCAAAATACGTCATTCTCAAATTTGTCACGAAAGTCTAACAGCATTGGCGCAATGCGCACCGTCGCCGTTGCATTATATTTGACGAATCACCGCCAAAAGGTGTGTTGTTCGTTCCCTTTCCCTCGCTTCATTTCCATTTTCTCGCTCACTGTGTTCGTCCCCTTCCTCAATGGCCTCTGAGAACCCCACCGTCGACGACTCCACCAACGGCTTCGCTCGCCCGGAGATGTACACCGAGAACCTCGCCGGCACCGTCGACGCCTACGACCGCCACGTGTTCCTCTGCTACAAGAGCCACGTGTCCTGGCCGCCGCGAGTGGAGGCCTCCGACACCGATCCTCTTACCAAGCGCGTCGCCGCCACGTGGAAAGCTCGCAAGAACGACATGGCCCTCAAGGTTCCTACGTTTTTTTCTTAATTTTTTTATGAACGAATAGAATGCAGTGGATTAGAATAGGTTTCTGTGGTTGATTGCTGTTCTCGTTACGATCTGCGTTTTGTGTATGATGATGTTGTACGTTGACTTCGGTGGCTTGGTTTGACTTTGCAGACGAAAATCACGGTGTGTGAGGCACGTGAGGAGGCTGGCTTCTCTGACGGTGATGTGTTGATTTTTCCCGAAATGATCAAATACAGGTAAATTGGAAGATTTGCTTGGACGAGGTGTTGTGTGTGTTGAATGTTTACCTTTTCGTAGTTGTCGTGAGTGGGTTATTAGGGTTCCGTTCTTGTTTTTTGGACTGAAGCTGTACCTCGATTATTATGTGGTAAAAAAGCTTAATTCAGTGTGTTAGGTAAAGCCTGAGTTGAATTTAGTATAAATTTAAGCTCGTGTGAGTGCAGTTACCTGTCTCTTGGGTTTTTCACGTTTAAAGTGCAAATGCTGGCGTGGAGATATATCAACAGGCTTCTTGGTGCAAACGGTTCAAAAATCAAAACATTTAAACCGTTTGTAGCCTCAACTATTGTATTTCCATCCTCTGTAAATGATTTCCTTTGCTAGCATAACTGTGTTAAGGTTGTAGTTTTCCACTTTCGTGTATATGTAAAGTTGTATGTCTACAGGGAGTTTTTTTCCTTATTTTCTTTCTTCTTTAGTGATACCATTCCTCTGTGCATAGATGGAATTTCTCAACATGCCTAAACTGGTATTTTGTTGATTTCTCTGTTAAATTTGGTCATGAATGAGGATTTTTGGATTTTGTTTACTGAGGATTTTCTGTTGACACTGAGGCCCTTTTGTTTTCTCCTTTGATTGGAAGGGGTTTGGAGGAATCAAATGTTGATAGCTTTTTTGAAGATGTTTTGGTGAATGGAAAACCATGGACTGCTGGAGTACAAGAAGAATTTACTGGTTCACATGTTTATGTATGTGCTCATGGAAGTCGTGATGTGCGATGTGGTGTATGTGGGCCAGTTCTCATTGAGAAACTTAATGAGCAAATTGAGCTTCGCGGCTTGAAGGATCAGATATCTGTTACTGCTTGTTCTCATGTTGGTGGGCACAAATATGCTGGGAATGTAATTATATACAGCCCAGGACCAGATGGAAAAATTATGGGTCACTGGTAAGCTCTCGGACTTGAACAATTGCATCCTCTAATTTTGAAGGAATTCAGTGCTGTTTAACTGTAGCACTTATTAATTAATTACAGGTATGGCTATGTTACTCCGAATGATGTTCCTGAATTATTGGACCAACATATTGCAAAGGGAGAAGTTATAAAACGACTTTGGAGGTTGGTTTTTTCCGTGATTGTGCATTTTGTATTTTTTAATGAAATGTTAATTTGAAGGATATATTGTTTGTGAGAAAACATTTATCATGTGATTTTTTAGATTCTAAAAGTATTCTACTCATTGCCTTTGGTACTGAAATATCATGTAGATTTATCAAAACAATCCCTGTTTGATGATACACACACACTGGCACATAGATACACAGTTGATTTCAGTAGTGTTTTGATAGTTGGAGAATGCTTCACCCTTATTGCATATTTTAGCTCTTAGCTTCAGATGATTACCATTGTTTGACTGGGTGTCCTTATTTCCCTCTCCCGGTCTCCCCTTACCCTGTCCATTATTCTGGTATCAAGATCAATTGTAGAAATGCTTGAGATCCCTAGTTTGATTGTGATCATATTTGATTTGGAATCTTTGGAATTGCATCATGGATTTTCTTCTTTGTATAATGAGTGACACTCTGTACACATCCAAGGAGTGAGTGTCCTCCATTTTTAATTATTTTCTTAAAATTTTATTGATCACAGTACATATGGGATACAACTGCAATACTTGGAATATGGATAAAATTACATAAAGCTCTATCTTTTTGATCTATGAATCCATTAAGCTATAGTAAATTGTAGGCAATCATATAGAACTAAGGCTTCCATCGTGTAGGACTAACAATGCATCTAATGACATGAGTTGGGAGAAAATTTTGTAACAAATTCATAGGGGAAAGTTTATTCTGATACAGGTCATGAAAATATACGTAACTATGTCTTTTTGTTATGGTCACTAGTGTTGTTTTTGTAAATTGTGAGCATCATCATCCCTATCAAATTGTGTTGTGTGTAAAGGCTGTTAGTAATACCTGGGTTGTATTGAGTGTCCAGGTATCATAGTTCATGGGCCTTAATTCTCATCCATCTGTTGTGATGCTGTCTAATAGAATGGTTTCTTTCCTATTGTGGTTCTGTTTAATTGAATTCATTTCTTTCCTATATTATCCAACCCTGGCTTTTCCATTTAAAATATCAAAAGGAGAATTTCATGTGTTTAGTTGCTTTATGTGATTATTTCATCTTAGGCTCTTTCTTTATAAATTATAACGAAAATTTATCAAACTGTTACAGGGGCCAAATGGGGCCATCTGTTGTGGAAGTTAAGGGAGCAGATGACGAGAAACTTGCTAGGGTGTTAATGGGACTTTCTTGTTGCAGAAGTCCAAGTCTTGAGCAAAACAACGAAATTGAAGAAACAACTGAAGCACATGGAAAGAAAGGGAGCAAAATCGGTTGCAATTGGCCTGTATTGCAGCAGCGTGATATTCTCACAGCTGTTGGTGTGCTTGGAGCTGTGGCAGTTGTTGCTGTTGCTTACAAACTCTACAGAAGAGCAGGTTAAGTTGTGCTCTGGAATATTTTAGGTTGCTTGGGAGTTTATTAGCCTCATTATTTTTGTCGAGGTACAATAAGATCAAGAAATAATTACGAAAACCACTGCTGCGACTAAGTCATAGATAGACGCTTCCGTTTGTTGGTTGAAAGGATACTTAATTAGTCCAGCAAAAGATGTAGTGAGGAAAATTTTATTGTCTTTTTTAATCCAACACAACACGGTTATGATTGCATACGCTGCCGAGTGTTCCATTATATACGTGAATCATTTAAATAAATTTTTATAGCTTAAGCGAAGTGGGAGTGACTACCATAACGAGCATTATTATTAACAGTGACTTGGACACAATCAAACAGGGCTATTTTCTAAGATGGGGCAAATCAGGAAAAATAAGCTTCAATAAAAAGCATATCTTTTATAAGATATTTTTATCATGTGACTTAAGTATTATCGATAGAGGAGATGATATTTACGATTGAAAAAACAGAGTAGATTCATCTGGTGTTTGGTTCTGGTTCTCCAACTCTGATGTTTCTGCCTTATCAACAACGTTGAAAGAATACGACTTTTCTGCTTTCACCTCACCTGAGCATCAACAATAGCTTGAAGCTTTGCATCCACTAATGAGGGAAGAGCTCCATCGTGACATAAAACATCTTCTCTAGCCCAAAATGGGTCCTATACAGCATGGAGTTGGACCCAATGCTCTCAGGGTTAATAATTTTTTTTTTACTTTTAATTATTATTTCTCCCACACATACTTTTTGGTAGTTAATGTATCAGCTTATGTCATCTATGAACTTGCAACATTTTGCTACGAATAATGTTTGTTTGTTTTTAATTGAATTGTGGGTCTGACTTCTATATAGATCGAGTGTTGGATCGAAATGTACCGATTTTTGACACACTTCTTACTATAAGAACCAAGGTAACCCGTTTTTAAAACTTCTGCACACTTAGAGATTAAATTAATTTCTTTTATACATAAAATGTATTACATTGAAATAATAAGAAATATAAGGATTAAACTGAAATTGTTTCACACGCATAAAGGATAAATACTTATATAAAGATTATGACATGTAAGGGTTTAATTTATACGTGTCAAACAATTTTAATTTAACTCTTGTCATATCACTTAATTTATGATAAATGTATAAAGATTAAATTAAAATTATATATATATAAATATATATATATATATATATATATAAATAAATAAATAAATCTACATTTATATATTAAATCTATTTTTTTATTTTTAAATAAAAACATTATTAATTTTTTTTTAGGAATCATGTATTTTTTCATTACACCATGTGATTTCTCTTATATTAAGTATTTAAGATTTTAAATATTATTTTTTGATTTTAATTTATTTGATTTAAAATTTTCATTTTGATACATTATATAAAATTAATGATTTTTTTCTTCTTCTTCTAGGTAAATGATGTGTTATTTTAGCATATTATTCTAGCATAATGATACGTATTATTTAAATAACTACTGTGTTTTGTATGTAAATAGAGAGTTTGGGAAGAATTTAAAAGCTATTTTAAGATTAAAATAGAAGAATTTGAAGCCCTCAAAAGAGCACTGGATGTTAGTGGAGTTACTCATAGTAGTGGAGTAAGCCCATAAAAAAAAAGAAATCATAATTTAAGATTAAGAGATTCATTAGTAGGTCATGGAAGACACAACCACTGTTGATTGTATTGATAATTTCAATAATTTAGAATTTTTAACTTTAGGGAAAATCATAGCCTACTAGTGGAAGTCATCACAATCATGAATCAAGCATTGTATATATGAATTTTATATTTTCTTTAAATTTGAGGTGTTTTAAAATAATTTTAACAACATCCTAATTATAAATAGAAAAGTTAAATCACGAAATAGGGTTCAACCTTGAACAATCTTGGAAATACATGCCAAATAAGAATTGAAAGAGCAACTAACAAAATCTAAGTGACTACAAAGAGTTTCTAAGTAGGATTTTGAAAGGATCACTATAAGATTTGCAAGGATCACTATGAGGAAGACGTGATTTAAGTTATTTTCTTGAGTTAGATAAATTCTAAAATGAATGATTGCATGATATGTTTTGTTCTGAGAAGTTTGCATGGGATATATAAAAAATATGTAGTGAAAAATAATTATATAGTGATGTAGTTTAAACCCTAGCATAGATGATTTATATTTTAAAGTAATTATAACATGTAAATGCGATTGGAGCTGAGTTCGAAGGTGTTCGACCTTTGACAAATTGTTTGATAATGTAAAAACATAAGGACTAGATTTTGTCCTTAGAAAATGCTAGCCCCCAATAACACCTTAGGGCTACCTGCTGGGAGGAATTCATTGAGTTTAGGTCCTCAGTTAGCTGCCCTTGAGTTTTGGCTAGGGACTTCAATTCTATCTTGTATAGTACTGAAAAAGTTGAGAGTAAACCTTTTAATCCTACCATAATTAATAATTTTGTTGACTGCCTCTTCTAATTTGGGCTTTGTGATATAGGTTTCAAAGGAAACCCTTTCACTTGACATAAAGGAACCTAAGAAAAGGTTGGACAAGGTTGTTGTCAATAGATCTTGGCGCATTTCCTTTCTTAATAGCTCTGTTACCCATATCCCCCTTTTGAAATCAGACCACTCTAGCTTGTGGCTTAAAATTCGCAATAAGTAGTCCTCCATCCAAAGTAATAAATTTCTTGCTCCTTGGATCTCCTATCCTGATTTTCTTAATTAAGTTAAAAACTCATGGCAGGTCTCTAAAACCTCGATAGATAATTTGACCAATTTTATAACTAAAATTTCTGCCTAGAACAAATCTGTGTTTGGTAACATATTATAGAAGAAAAAACATCTCATTTGTAGAATTGAGGAAATTTTCAGAAAATTAGGTGCTGATAATAATCCTTTCTTTATAAATTTTATGAAAACTTTATGGAAAGAGTATCAATTCATTCTTGATCAGGAGGAAAAATTTTGGTATCACCAACATACAGCCAATTGGCTATGTTCAAGAGAAAGAAATACAAAATTTTTCCATTGAGTTGCTTTAGGTAGGAGGAATAAAAACAGGATTAAAGCACTTAAAGATGAGAACCATGTCTGGATTTATGACCCTTTTGCCTTGAAAACCCTAGCCTTAAACTATCTTAAGTCCTTGTATGCTTATCTTGACCTTAAGGACTTTACCCTTAACACTCACACCTCTTCCTCCCTTGAGAGATTTTGATTCTAGGCTTCTCTCCCTAAGAGTTTCCATAGATGAGGTTAAGACTGCCCTGTTCAATATTGGGAATTTTAAGGCTCCTAGTCCTGATGGGTTCTAGGCTCTTTTCTTTAAAAACCAATGGCATGTGCTAGGAAAGTTCATATATGATTTTGTTTTATCTACGTTTCAAGACCCTAGGAAAATTGTTGATGTTAATGAAATGTGTCTCACCCTTATCCCCAAATTTGAACACCCTGAGTCCATTAGGAAATTTAGACCCATCTCTCTATGTAATGTTAGTTATAAGATCATTACGAAAATCTTTACTAATAAAATAAGGGACTCTATGTCCCACTTGATCTTTGCCAATCAGTACAGCTTCATCCCGGATAGACAGGGGATTGACAACCCCTAATCCTCTAGGAAACAAAGCATTCCTCTGACAAGCTCAAAGGGAGAAATGGCTATATGATAGTCAAATTGGAGTTAGAAAAAACTTCAGAAGGATTAGTCTAAACTCTGATATGATTAGTGTCAGTCAAGCTTGTATTACCTCTCCTTCAATGGTCATAAACTGGAACAATAGTTTTACTAAGATTTTTCAACCTGCTAGAGGTATCTGTCAAGGAGATCCTATATCCCTTTTATTTATTTGTCTTGTGCATTGAAATGCTTTCACATCTCATATAAGATAATATCCTTAATAATGATTGGGCTATCTTTTTCTTTGGATCCCATGACTTGCATATTTTTCATCTTCTGTTTGTTGATGACATCATCTTAATTGCCAAAGTTGACCTAACTCAAGCAACCATCATTCAGAATATTATGCACTCTTTATGTAAGACCTCTAGCTTGCAAGTTAACACTGCTAAATCTGCTTTATTTTTCTCTCAAAACATTGACCTACTTCATAGACAAAGTATTAATGATCTCTTAGGCATTAAAACTTCTAGTTAATTTGGCAAATATCTAGCTATTCCTATAACTCATCATAAACCCTCTAAGGCCTAGTTTTCCTTTTTAATTGATAAGGTTAGAGAAAAACTTTTCTGTTGGAAATTGAAATATCTTTCTCTTTCTCTCTCTAGTAGGATCACCTTGGCTCAATCGTACATCATGTGTATTCCTTCCTATGTAATACAAACTACCTTGCTTCTTGGAGTTATGTGCAATGAGATTGACAGTTTGTGCAAAAAATTTATTTGGGGTACTTTGGGTACTAAGAAAAGTCACTTGATTGGCTGAAATATAATTTGCAAACCTAAGAATGAGAGGGTTTAGGGTTCAGAAATTTCCATATGGTTAATAAGGCTTATATAGTGAAACTATGCTGGAGACTTTACACCTTCCCCAGTGATCTTTGGGCTCAGGTCCTTTGTAAAAAATACAAATTTTCTGCTAGGCATACTCTAGCCTTTAGGGATAACAATAGGTCCTCCCCCCTTTGGAAAACTGTAGTTTCAATTTGGCTTATGTTTGCTAAAGGTCTCAGTTGGGATTTAGGTAATGGCTGTTTAATTAGATTTTGAGCAGATTACTGGGTGCCTAGCTGTTCTCCTCTTATACATCATGCTTTGCAACATATCCCTGATAGAGATCAGGACATTCTAGTGGCCTTCTTCTCTGTTAAGGGGAGTTGGGATTGGGATAAACTTTCCTCCCTCTTCCCTAATTCCATCTGTGTGGCAATTACCAAAATTAATCCTCCAATTCTTGTTGGTAGATGTGATTCTACTTCTTGGGCCCTTGTTGGAAATGGATCCTTCTCTATTAAAACTGCTTACCCGTTACTTTCTCAGGACCAAATTCCTCCTTCCCTATGGCTTACTATATTTAAACCTGTCTAGAAATGGAAAGGTCTCCCAAAATGACTTTTTTTCTTTTGGAAGATCTTCTATGGTCGGTTGTTTACTAATAAGGAAAGGTCTAGGAGGAGTATGACTAACATAGCTACTTGTTCTAGGTGTGGGGATGAGAATGAATCTATTATACATGTTTTACGTGATTGTTTTTATTTTAGAAAGGTTTGAGATTACTTTATTTGCTCTAACCTATGGGCTTGGTTTTTTTTTGTTGGTCTCTCAGATTGGCTCTATAAAATTTTATCTTTTCTTTATTTGAACAATCATTCTAATTAGTTAATTTTTTTTGGCTTTATTATTTGAAATTTATGGAAAGGTAGAAATAATCTTATCTTTAATAATTGCTTTACAAAGGTTTATATGCTAGTCAGATAGATAATCTGTGATAATGAGTTTTATGAGTTTTACTGTAGGAATCATCATCTTTCCCTCACCAAGCCAAGATCAGATGGGTTCCTCCCCTAAGGGACCAGGTCAAATTAAACACTGATGGAGCAGTTTGCCTTAATCTGTCTGTTGCTGCTTGTGGTGGTATCCTTAGAGACTGGAAAGGAAATTTTGTTGCTGATTTTTATTGCTTGTTGCCTCTTTGCTCCCCTCTTGAAGTGGAACTTTGGGAAATTTACTATAGCACCCAATTAATTCAGTATTATGCTAGCTAGACTCCTTGCTAGATTGAGATGGACTCGCAGGAAGCCCTACACTACATTTGACATGTTCAATTCCCTTCTCATCCCTTTTCATGTTATTTGTAAGATAAGGGACAATTTTAAATTTGTAAAGTCTGTTAGGCTAGGTCATTGATGTAACATATTTTAGGTTTACTTCTATAGTTTTATTTTAATTCATATGCTTTATTTTTAGATTTTTTTTATCATTTTCTAGTTATTTGAATAAATTGTGCTTGTTACAAATAAATGCTTTAATTTCGTATTTTTAGTTATTCTAACCTCTGACTACTCTTTTGGTCATAACTTTTTCTACAAATATCGTTTTTGGCTAATTCTAGTTGCATTGAACTTTACACATCTAGGGCTTCAAAATACATTTATGAATAGATAGATTTGGAGTTATTTTTTATTTTTTATAATTTTTTGAAGTTAAGGCAATTTTGCTGAATATTGTTGCGGAATTGCATTTGAACTCTTATTATTTAATATTTTTTAGTTATTTGAATAAATTGGGCTTGTTGCAAATAAATACTTTAATTTTGTATTTTTGGTTATTCTGATCTGTAACTACTCTTTTGGCCATAACTTTTTCTACATATATTGTTTTTAGCTAATTCTAGTTACATTGAATTCTAGACATCTAGGGCTTTTAAAATGCATTTATGAATCATTGGATTTGGAGCTGTTTTCAATCTTTTATAATTTTTGAAGTTGAGACAAATTTGTTGAATATTGTTGCGAGATTGCTTTTAGACCCTCGTTATTTAATAATTGTATTTGGGCTTTTAGATATAATTGAGGACTGAATTTTGGCCACTTTAATTTACCCTAATCAGATCCTATAAATAGATTAATAAGGTTCTGAATTAGTGGTTGCGATTAGACACTTTGAGTTTTTAAGATTTGGCCAAAATAAGATACCTTGTTTTTATTTTCTTTCGAATTCTCTCATTCTCTTCTTATTCTTGCGTCGGTTAAGTGCTATGATGGAAGGCTAAACCTCTTGTTCAATTTGCAGAATCCAAACATTTTACATCCGATTTGAGTTCTAAGCCAAATTGCTTCGAGTTTGTTTCCTTTTTCTCTAATATTATATTTGTGTATTGCAGTTGTGATTAACTTTTCTGTAGTTAAAATTCAAATTAGGATTCGATTAATATTCTAATTTGATAATTAGTTCAGGTTAGGTTAAATGATAATTTGATTTAATCCGTAATCTAGTTCAATTAGGTTATTCGATTTAATTAATAATTGAATTGGGTAAACATTCAAACTCAAATTAAAATCTTTAGATACTGTGATAATCAGGGTTACATGCATTTGATATTCCGTTGATTGATATTTATTAATTTATCTTTACTCAATTTTATTCTGTTCGTAGTTCAATTTAGTATTTTGCAGATTTTAAAACTCCCAAAAGTTTACTCGCATTCCTTAAAAAAGAAAACTTAAAATTGAATTTAATTGAAAATGTGCCTTTGAGAATCGACCTAGGTTTAACTCTATACTACAAAATCTTTAGAGAACTTAGTTGTTTTGATATCAACTCGATATCGTCTATCAGTCATATATTTAGAAAGACCAATCATTGTGTAAATTTGTTGGCCAAAGTTGGCCTGGAATCCTTTTTTCCTTTAGTTAGTTTTGTTGAAGCTCCTTGTAGGTTGCTCCCTTTCTTATGCATAGACTAGTGTGGTTGCTTGACCCCTAGGTCCATCCCTTAGTTTATTTGTTGCTTGGATTGTTAGCCCCCATTCTTAAGAAAAAAAAATAAAAATAGTTTCAACGATTTTCTACATTGATCAATAGTTATTTTATATTTTAAATATTAATTAACGACAATTAAATGTTATTGAAAATTTTAGAATAATTTATCTAGGAATCGTTATAATATTATTCTATAGACCTTTTATCTACAAATATTTTAAATCAATTTGTTTATTTTACTATCATGTGATATTTAATAATTGTAGTTTATTAATTTCTGACAATTTTAATTTATTTTTTATAAAAAATATAAATGTATATCATTTTTCAGATTTTCTAACCTAAAATATTTTTATATAGTTTTAAAATATTATTATTTTTCCATTTAAAAAATTATATATATATATATATATTAATTTTTTTCTTTTAAAATATTATGAAAAATATATAAGCATTTATAGGCTTTTAAATTAAAAATATTATAAATAAAAAATAATTTTTAATAATATATTTTATTATAATAAATTAAAAATAAAATTATTGATAAGTCTGTAATTAGGCCCTCTTTTACAGTCCATATATTCATATTTGACCTTTATTTATTTGAGTTTTACATTAGTTTATATATTAATTATGCAGTTTGGTATAAAGAGGCCGTAAGTGGATTTTGGGTACATTCTGTGCCCAAATTGATGGAAGATTAGAGCTTCGCAGTAGTCAGCACGACCAGACCCATTCAATAAGCACGAGAGTACTTTGAGCCCAAAGCACGGTCGTGCTCAATGCCTTGCACGGTCGTGCTCAGCTGTGGGAAGCCCAATTATGAAGAATCTTTAGGGTTTTCAAACCCTATTAAAAGGGAGATCTTAAGCATCGTAAAAGAAACTGTTTTTACATCTTGGCTTTGGCTCTAGAATACATCTGATCTCGTCTCTCTTGCATGGGATTCTTGGCATATGCTTGGCGGGACTTGGAGCTTTGAGCAATCGTACTTGAAGACCGGGAACACATCTCATACTCTAATTTGCTATTTCTTTTGATTATGGATTTATTTATGATTGTTTTAGTTCTTTTCTTTAGCATAAGTAACTAAGTCCATAGCTAGGGCTATGAGAACTATTGTTCATGAATTTATGAAATTTTGATGTTTGAATCTAAATTTGATTTCCGTTTTGTGGTTAGATTTTATCTTATTGTTCTTCTTTCTTAATCCTAATTAATTATATCGTTAGGCAATCGTACCTCGGTTAATTAATAGATCTATAGGATAAAACGAGATAAAGGATTAGGTGGACCAAACCAATATTTCTCTTCTAATTGTTATTAAATTAACAAGTTCGTAGGCTCCTAAGGCTTTCTTAAATTAAAGTCTTGCATGATCATTGATGTTAATTTAGAGAAAAGAATATTAATATTGCATGACCATTAGATATTAATATTATTCGTAGGAATGATTGGTAATCACAAGGAAATCGAATTTAGAGTTAAATAGAAAAATAACATAAAGGATTGAGTGAGAAAACCCATATGTCCTAGGTTCCTCTCCGATAAGTTTAACCAAGACGTGCATTGTATTCCTTGCTTAGTTTTATAATTGATTTTATAAATTCTTGTTTTTAATTAATCTCGTATCTTTGAAGCTTAAACAATTGAATTAAGAAATTCTTAGTAATTGAAAAATAATCCTTGTGGAACGATATTTCGGGAACTTAATTGAATTAAGCAATTTGTATTTTATTTTATTGATTTAAGAAAATCTCAAATTTAATTGATTTAAGCAATTTTTATTTTATTTTATTTTGTTTTGTTTATTGTTAAATTTTTCTTTTATATTTTATATAATTTTCGTATTTATTTTATTTTAATTTTTTTTCATAATTTCTTTTAATGTATGCTCACTCGTTCTAAGTGTTCTACAACTTGTGTATTTGATCCAGAAATTGAAAGAACAGTTCGTAGACAGAGAAAAGAAGTGAGAGAGCAGAGGATGACAGAGGGAAGGAGATCAATTTAAGATTACATGACACTCACTGCTAAAGGCACTCTTGGAAGCATTGCGGCACTAAATGTGGAGGCCAACAATTTTGAATTGAAACTAGCACTTATAACCATGGTCCATAACTCGATACAGTTTGGAGGCATGCCTAACGAAGACCCCAATCTTCATCTGACAAAGTCCCTCCGATTGACGGATACCATCAAGTACAATAGAGTCTCCAACGATGCTATTCGACTTCGCATTTTCCCCTTCTCAATATCTGAAAGGGTGAATGCATGGTTTTCCTCACTCCTATCCAACTCCATCAGAACTTGGGAGCATCTCACTCAACAATTCTTGGGAAAGTACTTCCCCCATCAAGGTCCTCTAAGCTTATGACGGAGATATGTTGCTTCCAACAATATGAGGTAGAATCCTTATTCGAAGCATGGGAGTGATTTGGAGAGATTTTGAGGAGATGTCCTCATTATGATTTTTCGACGTGGAGACAGGTACAAATCTTTTTGAGTGGCCTATCAATCACTACCAGGACTACAATTGATGCCGTAGCAGGAGGGTCCCTCAAAAGAAAATATCCAGATGATGCATACAAGATGATAGATGAGATGACATCTTCTAGCTTTGTGTGGCACACTGCTGACTCTTATGACATCAAGAGAAAAGAGACCGCTCCGGTCTACCAAGCAGAGAGCAGTAGCCCACTAATGAACCAAATGGCAGCCCTTGCAAAGTAACTAGAATCTTTAATAAAAGCTCAAGACCAACCTGTAAGAGCTCCTGCAAGCCCAGAATTTAAGCAAGAGGAGGCAAACTTCATGGGCAATCATAGTTCAGGGTGGAGGAGTAATCCTCCTAACTCTTGGGGGAATGGCTTTGGAAGTCAAAATTTAAGTGTTTATTGCCCTCCTCATGTGCAAAGTCAAGGTGCAAGACCTGAAGGAAAAGAAGCTCCTAGATCTCAGTCCAAAATCTCAATCCAACTTTCAAGAACAGATGATGCAATATGTGCATTACTCTGATAAGAGGATGATAGAGCTTGAATCTAAGTTGGACCAACATATTGAAAGAACTGATAAGAAATTCGCAGAGGTCAAATCTGAAATACAAGCCAACTCCTCTAAGATGAGTGCACAATTGGAGTAAATTACGAATCTTCTGAGTCAAAGAGTGATGAGAACACTGCCATCTGAGCTTAAGCCTATTCCAAGGGAACAATGCAATGCCATCACTCTTAGAAGTGGGAAAAAATTTAAAATTTTGAAAAATAAATTATTATAAATAAGATACACAATTATTTACGATATCTTTTGTTAAATTTAAAAATTGAATATAAATTAATATTGATTAAATTGATAGTGATATGAAATTTTCACATCCTTGGTAAAACATTTCTATCATTATTTGTAGATAATTTATGATATTAGGAAGTAATATGTTTAATAATATTTTTAAAATTAAATAACATTTATAAATAAAAAATTAGTAAATATTTCAAATGTTTAAATATATCATTATAATAAATTTTGAAGACAAGACCTTCAATTTTAAAAAATAAAAAATAAATCATATGATATTTAGTGAATTAGTATAATTATATTTAAAACTGGTGAAATAATTTTTTGTGATATTATTTTTTAAATTTATAATAGAATAATTATAAAATTAAACAATATAATAAATAATTATTTATTTATTTTTAATGTTATAATTTTATAGTAGTATTATAATAATTATATTTATTTTTTATATACTATGATAATTGAATTATTTTAAAACAAATAAATTATTTAATAAAATGAATTTTTTCATATATATTTTATAATATTGAAGATAAAGAAAAGTATAACTACACTAACACCTAGATTTTCTTGGTGACTCCATTCTCCCTCTTTAGTTACTAGAAAAAATATTCAAATTTTGAGGAAAATAAACGTAAATGAAAATAAAATTATTAGTGACATTGAATTGAAAAAATTGTGTTAAAAAATTGGCATACTTGATAAATATTGAAAGAAAAAAAATGTCAAGCTATGGTAGTCAATTATCCGTTTGAGATCGAAAGGTTATTGTAAAAAATATTTGGTGAGTCAGTCAAATACCCCATTGAGATCAGGCTAGTTGTTGGAAAAATACTTGAGTTACTTCAAACTTTAAGTACTCTTTCGAAACTAAGAGAGAAAGTGTAAAGCACTAGAAGTGAGGGACAACCCTTGCATGGAGGTAGGTAAGTATCAATTATGTAAAAAAAATTGGAAATTAACTAAAAACACCTAATTTATTTCTCGTTGATGATCGTTGTCTTTAAAATAGTAGACTTGCACGTTGATTTAGTAAGTCAAGTCATTGATATATGTTATAGTAATGTGTGTTTCATTTGATGAATGATACCTAAGGAAAGTCAAAGTAGATTATTAGAAAATTGAGTTGGTGTTTATATTTCATTTTACTTTTAGACATATTTAAAAATAAACAAAAATATGGAAAATATCTAAATATTGCATCATAATGCATTTTACAATACATTTGTCTTAATTAGTTTAGATAACAACTATATTTTGTATTTTGTATATAGATGAGGAGTTAGGCAAGAATTTGAAACAAATTTAGATATTTGAAAGAAGTTTGAAGCAACAAAAAGACTTTTTGAAGTACGATTCAAAAGAATCATTACATATTTGTAAGAGCAATGTATCTCAAATGATAGAGATTAGTTTCTTTTTTGTCATTATTCATATAATCTCTTATTCTTATTTTTTTTTAGTCATATCTAAATTTACTTAAGTAGTTTTCTTATTTTAGAATTTAGAAGTAGACCAAATTAGGATTAATTAACAATATAAGAAATTTTTTATGATCTTTTGTCAATTTTAATTTCTTAATTTAATTATTAGTACTTTTAATGTTTAAATTTGTTAGCTTCTTATTTATATAATTTTAAATGTTAAAGAAAGGACTTAAAAGATTAAAATTATTATTAGAAATTCTAAAATTGAACTTGAGATTCTAGATTAAGTTTCTTGAAAAACTATACAATCATCATAGAACTTATGTTTAATTGAATTTCATATTTCATTACTCTAAAAGTAGAAGTTAATCTAATTAAATACATTATTTTATTTTGTAAGAAAATAATAACTACTTCAAGATAATTCGCCTTCAAAATAAATAAAAAAATAGCAAAAGATCTATTTACTTAAGTTCGTAAATTTTAATATGCAGTAAAACTGATTCCTATAAGTTTGTTAGGATTTGTACTTATTAATTTAAAGAAATTACATTTTTAATTCTTTTATTTCTTTTTAGTTTTCTCTTTATTTAATTTTGTCAATTCAATGCATTTAGAAAGTTTAGTTGTAATTATTAGATAAATACAATCTGTATTAATATGATAACATTTTTATTCTACTTGAAAATAACTGCTTACTTGTGATTTTATCGGTAAACTAAAATTTAAAACTATTAAAATTTTAATTAATCTCAAATTTTAAATTTTTATTAAGATAAAATTTTTTCTGAATTAAATCTTAATTTGAATTTTATTTAATTTTAAAACTATTTTTTAATTTACTATGATTTAATAAAATAAAATATTTATCATTAATAATAATCGTATAATATAACAATAAAAACAATAAAAGATTCACTTAAAAGTTGTTTGAGAGAGTTAAAAATAAATTTTTATTTTTAAATTAATAAAATTACATGAGTTATGATAATAAATAATTAATTAATATATTATGCTTATATTAATACATCATTTTATATCTTTATTTTAAAAAATTATAAATTAAAATAGATTTATTCAAAATAAAAAGTAAGTGAATGGAGTTGACACAATAATGGAGATAAAAAAACTCCATTTCAACGACATTTTCTAAAAGAAAAAATAAATAAATTCTACCGAAACTGTTTGACATAGTACACAAACTGGCTGAACCTCAGGTCAATGCGTGACAGAGTGGAGCAAAACCGTAACAATTGTAAAAGTGGAGCAATTAAATAACATCACACCAAACCCAAAGTCACATCATAACACAAGATTTCTAACCAATCTTTTGTACACAGAATGGTGTCAATTCTACAGTAGTAGCCTAAATGACTGACATTTCTCTAGTAATGTCCTAAACTAAACAGTCACATCATTGATATAAAAAGGTTAAGAAAAATGTGATCTGTTACATCCATTAATGAGCTTAAACCTATGCTCTTGTTAGGTGGAAACATTATATACTTAGTTTTGCAACCATCTCCTCTACCAATCTCAACGTGGTCTCTGCCAGTTCCTCCCCTTCTGCATCATCAATTTCTTCCATGATCCGTTCTATAAACCCATGATTAACTTGTTTACTTGATGAACCATAATTAGAGCAATCCCTCAGAAGCAACAACAAGTTCTTAGCCAAATTTTTGGCTCTCCAAGTTCCATCCACACTTAACTGAAGCAACCCTGGCATCACTCCCTCTTTCAAGATCATTCCTCTATACTTATCTCTACAGCTTTGGCAAATGAGTAGTAGTGTCCCTACTGCATGCTCTTTGCTTTGAAATGACCCATCTTCAATAGTTTCCACCAGTGTCCTAACTGCTCCTCCAATACTAGCAGCCTCACAAAGTGCACTCTCTGATGAAGACACAATATGTTCTAGCAACCCAATTGCTTTCTCAACCAATGTTGATGATTTTTCTGATGTGTGGATCAGTTCAAGCAAGGAAAGTATAACCCCAGAAGAGACAATGAATGGAGTAATAATCTCTTGGCAAGTTGAGAGGTTGTGGAGAGTGGCTACAGTGTCAAGCTGGGACTGAGTGCTACTAGTGCTATTGTTGAGAAATTGAGCCAAGAGTTGAATAGCCCCAGATGAAGCAATTGCTACCCTATTTGCATTGCAAGAAGAGATGGTTAGCAACGTGGCTATTGTTAATTCCACCACTGTTTGGCTTTGGCAATGGAGGAGGCTCAGCAATACTGGCAAAGCTCCTGATTTGATGATCCTGGACTTGTTTCTGTCAAAGTGAAAATAGCTTGTGTAAGATTTCAGCAACCTGTGAAGGAAACTCATTTTCGAATTCGTAACATTGAAGGGATTTATATTCCCTCGTGTTTTTGTACATTACTTTTTAGTAAAGTATCATGATCGTGGTAGAATGTACTATTAACAAATGACAAGCATTGAACATATTCCTTGGCTCCATTAACCAAAAAACAATCATGGGGAGATAAAAAGTTCAAACTTGATATTTACTCCAACACAATGTTAAATTGGGCAATGTACTATTTTGGAAAAAAATAAATTTTGATAATCAAATTATTCGAATTGTTCTCTGGTATGAGCGTGGAGTAGTGTCCTAATGAATAATGTTTAAAAAACTGAACTGAAGAGAAATAGATGTTAGAGAACATAGCATTCTACATTGAAATGTGAATGAACTAACCGTTCACTGCCAAAGGCAAGGCTAAGTAGAGCAGACAGAGAAACTTCGATGGCTTCATAGTCTTGAGAATGAAGCATGGAAATTAGAGGTACCATAACTCCATGTTCTGCCAAATTGTGCCTCTGCTTTCTGGTGAATTTCCTCAGTTCCACTGCTGCTTGAATTTGAGTATCTCTGTTACCATTCCAAAGGTTTTCCACAACCTCTTTCTCCATTGGAGCTCTCTAAGTGTGCTTTCTTCTTTTGCTTTGTGTCACTCAAAGCTCCACATTTTCTATGTTAGGCAGTGGTTAATGTAGCCTTGGGGTTGGTTGCTTGAAGTGCTAACTTACGCTTTTGTGGGTATCCCAATCCATTGTTTCAGCTAGAAGCAACATACAATTCTTTTGGTTAGCTTTTTTTTTTTCTCTTTGGTGAATGTTGGTATTGGAAAGTTGAAAAAAAACAATTAAAGAATGTCAAAATTGCCAAGATTGAATCTTCCACTTTCCTCACTCAGAAGCAAATACTATTTTATATTCAGATTTATTGTCAATTTTATTTGGGATTGTTAATTTCTTTATGAATTAATCTATACAAGCATGCAATAAATATTCCATCGAACTTTTCTAGAGATTTTGTCTTTGCTTTGAAGATGGGTTAACGTTTCTACGTTATGTAAGATTTTTAATTCAAATAATAAGGTATGTTAGTAGGACCTTAGGAAGATTATAATTATTATAAATTACCGTTTTAAATCACATGGACAACGATATTCATCGTGCTTTCCTTTAATTATGCCAAACCCCTTTCGATCTTTGACTTTTGATTTTAGAGCCACCAATAAAATTTAATCATAAAAGAAATTGAGATTATTTTCTCTAATTAAAACGTTATTGAGATAATCCTCATGATTGTTCTTTTGTTTTTAGGTACATCATGATTCTAATTAATTAAACACAATTCATAGATTTAAATAACAATTTTTTTTAATATTTTAGATGTTTCAATCTCTAAAATTTAAAATAACATAAATTAGAGAGTATAATTACTGACTTTTCTTTTAATATATAATTAATTAGTATTATTTTTAAATAAGTTAATATTGCTATAGATTTGAAAATTGTGTTTTTTCGTTGAAACATTAAATTATCAGATACATCTAGGATCTTGTTACGATAAACTCTTCTAAATGAATCTCTCTACTAGAAGTTTAACATAAAAAAATTGAAAATTTTGTATAGATAATTTAAATCAAATTTAAAAATGATAAATCTCATAATTCTCATGTGTACTAAATTAAGAAGAGACGCCCCAAAACTTTTTAAATCATGCATTAATTTTTGAATTCTATGATGTGATATATCATATTGAATTACTATCTCTTATATCCTAAATTTAATTGAAAAGTGAATTGAAATTTAATCATAATACTTCACAAGAAAATTTTAGTTTAAATTGTATAAAAATGTAAGAATTATTCTTCATTAAGTTTGAAATATTGAATTTAATTTAATTTATTGACAGTATAAAAATATTTTACATTGTCATCTAATTCTAGATCGTTAAATTAACAAAATTTATTAATTGCTATAATAATTAATATAAAAATTAATTTATAATGTATTCTAACTCTTAAATTGTGTCAATCAAAGTTAAAAAAAAATTTCTAGAAAAAATTGAGTGTTCAATGCACTATCTTTAATATTGATCCACTCATCTTCTTAATTTTATTTCAAATTCAACAATATAATGAAAAATTCCTAAAAGCATCATATGATAAAAACTTCCTCGCCTCCTTCTTTACCACATTGTTAAAGAAATAATAAACTTGATATTAGGCTTTATTGTATATGCTGTAAACTACTCATTCCATTAGAATTGGCTTCAAGGAAAAATATTCCAAATAGTCTTTACATATGTTTGCATGTAAACCCTATTACAAATAATACAAATTTTAGCAAATATAGATAATAGATTAAAAAAATTTAATTAATTATTAATGGTCCCGGCCATAGAAGTTAATTTCTTTAGTATAATTTTACATGTTAAATCTATTCATCTTTGAATAACAAACCTTATCACTTGGCAAAATAAAATTTAATCATTTTAGAAAATTAAGATTGAGGTTTAATTCAGGTTTATTGTATGGCTAAAATCAGTTGTATAAAAATAGTTACAATATAAGTTCACGTTTGACAATAGAATAAACTTATTAGTGAAAAATGAATGAAAATATTGTAAAATTTAAAATAATTCAATGAAAAGAGTTGCAGTATATAGTTAAGGTCTTGTGTGCAGCATCATGATCCTTTAGAAGACTTTCTACAATGGTGTAACAACAATTGTTCTCCTTGCAACCTAAGCACTTTTGTGTTCAACTTGCATGTCTATAATTTGGTGTAGGTTTTTAATGTAATAAGAAGGACAAAAGAGAGGGTTACTGAAAATGGCATTGATGTATAAGATTAAGAGTTATTAATGTTATTAGTTTATATTAATATTAAGACGCACTGAAAAGGGAGCTAAAAAGTCACTCCACTAGAGTTAGGAAGTGTGAAGTTTGCTTACATGGATATTAATTTTAATATTGATACTTTGAGTGTATTTCTCAAAAAATAAAAAATAAAAATAATGGAAACTAGATTTAGGGTAGAGAGCATTAGATGATTGTTATATATCGTAGTGACTAGTGATCTAACTCAACTTCAGATAGAACTTGAAGACGAACACAATCTTATTCTTACTTATAAATAGTTACTATGGTTTCAACAAGAGACATTCCTAACCCTCTTTGGATTATGGTTACAAGGCCCAAAGATAACCCTAATTGTTATAACTAAAACAAATAAAAGGTCAACCTAGTTATGGGGCCTAATTACAATTCATTTAAAAAGTAAGTCCAAAGCCTATTTAAAAGGTTTAAATGTCCTCCTCATCAACTTGAATGGGTTGGACTAGATTTAGGTGTATCCTCCTCACCTTGATTCATTTGTTCCAAAGTCTTTGTAGCCACTTCTTGATCTTGGACTTGATTATAGGTCCTCTAACACGTCCCAGGATCATGACCTATCCAACTAGGACACTTACCCTTCTTATAAATTGCACTCAACATATCATATTGGTATTATAGAGTTGAAAATTCTTCAAATTATGGGTTCATTCTTCTCCAGCTATGCCATTTAGCCTTATCAAAAAATAAATTAAAAGGAAGGCTCGTCTGTTTATCTATATCTATATAAGTTAAACATATTAAGAAAATAATAAATTTAAATGTATTGAATTTGACCAAAAAGATTTTATACCAATTTTTCAATATATCTTCAAGGATCATACTCCAAGACGAGTATGGTTTGCATAGTTCAAACTTGAACATTTAATAAATATATTTAATGATATCAAATAATGCGATTAACTAAAAAAAACTGAGCAAATATTTCCCACTCATTCTAATAGATTAGATGATACCCATCTTTAGTCATCTGAATCTTTTGCCCCTGATCCTTCTGCGGTTGCTGATCATTGATTCACAGCTATTATAAGTTACAATAATCTAGATTGTCCTTCAAGGATCTTGGACACAATTGATCATACTATTCAGGAAATAGAGTTTGTTTGGAAATTTTGAAATGCTATTTTATTTAGTTCAAAATTTGTTTATGATTTAGATTTATTTTGTGAAAATAATTGATAAGTTAATTGAAAGTTGAAATATATTTTAAAACGAACTAGACTTATTTTTATTATTTATAATGAAAATCAAATTTTATTAGTATGAATAGATTAAAAATATAAGACTTTTAAAATTAAGAAAAAATTATAAAAATAAATTATTTAAATCAAGATGCATTATTTATATTTTAAAAATATTCAAAAATAAATTTAGATTGATCATTGGATTGCTAAGATTCACTACGACAAAATAGAGATCTGAGAGCGATTCTATTTTAAATTAGAGAGCGTTTAGAACTTCTTTAAAATCCTGCGCTATCTGATGTGCTATATTGAAGAGAGTGGTTAAACAACCGCTCTTAAAAGTTAAGTTTGGAGAGCGGTTCTAGGCGGAACCGCTCTCCAAAGTATAAATGTAGATCGCGAATCTGAAATTTAAAATTGATTTCTTTTTGAGTTTTCGATTTATTGTAAAGTAAAATCAATTTATTATTACGTTTAAATCAAAATTTAGAATTGATTTCTTTGTGAGTTTTTTTCATTTTTATCACAAATTAAAATTGAATCTTGAGTTTATACATTTGGTATTAACAAAAAACAATCTATATCTGCATGAACCAAACAGAAAAAAAAGAACAAATTAGTAGGATGATTTTTAACGTTAATAGAGAGAAAAAAAAGAAAAAAGAAAAAAAAGAGAATAAATGATTCACTGTTAACAAAGAAAAGAAAAAAGAAAGAGAGAATGAAAAAGTACCTACAAATGTGAAAAAAAAAATTTGTTAGCGCAGAAATATGAAGAGAACAACAAAGAATGAAGAAGTAACTACAGATATTAAAAAAAAAACACTAATTGTTAGTGCAGAGAAGATGAAGAGAAAATGATGAAGAAGTACCTGCAGATGTGGAGAAAAAAAAACTAATTTGTTAGTGAAAGAAGAAAATAAGGGCAGGTTAATAGAAAAGATGAAGAGAACATAAGAGAGCAAATAAGATGAACAGAACTTACAATAAAAGAGAATGACTCTAATGACTTTAGAGAGTGATTCTTTATTAACCGCTCTCCAAGAATGACTTTAGAGAGCGGTTAATAAAGAACCGCTCTTTAAATATATAATTACAAAGCGATTTTTACTAACCACTGTCTAAGTTAGCACTTCAAAAACTCATTTCTGGCGTAGTGATTACATTGTAATAACTTTAAAATTTAGTTTGTTTTAGATTCAAAATAAACATTTAAAACATTTATGTAGCTTAATAAAAAAACAACTCTTAAGAATATTTCTTATTATAATAATAAAGAACAAATTAAAAATCATATATATATATATATATATATAGGAATAAAAAATCTTCCTATACTGATATAAGTCTAAAAATCTTTACACTCAATCTAAACTTTTTATTTTATTTATATTTAATGAATTATAATTTATTATTTTACTTACCGTTATATGTAAGTTAAATGAAAGATTTAAATAAGTATAAGAGATTTTAAACTTACATGAAAAAAAAATATTTAAGTATTGTAAAATGAGAACAATAAAAATAAAATATTAAATTTTATTTAAATAATTAAAGTTAAAAGAAAAACACACATAACATTCTTAAATTGACTGTGAAATTTTTAATCTTCACTGTCCATGTATATGCCTCCTTACACAAGCTCAATTTTTACTTACAGCGTAAGATTATGATCATGCAGATGAAAACTGTTGTCGAGGAAAATATTGGTGAGGTTGATGTTGTGATAGTACTGTTCTCTGGCCATGTCTAGGTTTTTGCACCAATCATATCACAAAATGACACCTAATGCTAAAAAATTTTATGAGTACGTGGTTACTGGAAAAATTTATTTAAATAATACTATTTATAAAACAAATTCTGGAAATAGAATTATTTTAAAATATATTTTTTGTTTGGGCTAATTTTTTGCTAGATCAGCACCTGTCTCGCACCTGCATAGCCGATAACAATTTTTTAATAATTTTTAAATAGTCTATTATTCCATAATGTTTGATACAGCTTTATACACTGACACGTGGTGTCGTATCTGCCAAATAAGAGCTATGTAGAGGAACGACTTGGATGATGACACGTGGCACCTTCTAGATGAATATCGGCTGGTCAAGGATGATAGCATTATTGGCGGTCAATAGGCGACTCACTTGTCGAGAGGTAGAGTGTGAGATAGCTGAGGACTTGACACGTGGTAATAACTGATGGTCATTAAATTGAATTCACTCCCTTGTCCAATTTTAAAGCATATATATATATATATATATATATATACACATTTTGATTCCGCAATTGACATTCTTTGAGCTGGAATGAGAAAAACTACACAAAGTGTTCTCAGGTTAGTTAACATGTAGATTTGCATTTTTAATTTTTTTTTTATGAATTTTATTTATATGTAGTTTATTTATTAAAAATTTTAATAATTTTTATGTTAGTTATTAAATGAAATTGAGTATTTTTAATTAGTTGTTAAATAATTACATTAATGTGATAGAAATTTGTTTAAATAACAAAAATAACGGCTGAATAATAATAATCCGTTAAAGTCATTAAATTTTAATGCATACAATATTAAAACAATTTAATAATGCATATACAAATATATTTTGTATTTTATCTTGATAATTAACTTTAAATGTAAACTTTGTTGTGTTATGTTAGCCAAAAAAATAAAGATTGATGCAATATTGTAAATAAATAGATATTGTAAATAAAAATGGTTTATTATAAATTTAATATAAAGTAAAAAAACTGCAGTTATTAAAAATCATTGTTAAATACGTAAAAGTAAGAAATTAATATAGTTAAAAAAATAAAATAATTTTATATAAAATAGGAGAATGTTGTATATATGATAAAAGTGTCAAATTTGTTGTATGCGTATTTAATTTGTTAAATTTTACTGATTTAATTTATTGTATGTGTATTTAATTTGTTGATGCAGGATGACTGATTTTGTGATAATAGTATATTAGAATGGTCAAATATTCTCGAGTAATGAGAGTGTTACCTTTGAAGAAAATAATAAAATGATTAAAATTGAACGTGGAATAAGTTTTGAGACATTAAAAGAAAAGATTCATAAAAAATTATAATTGTCTACTAATCAAGTTATATCTATATTGATTTCACAGTTTTTAGTAGATCCAATTGGTAGACAATATACAAATATGGATATATGTGATGAAGAAGATATCGATTGTATGTTAAGTATTTTTTTACAACAAAATCAAAGGAGTGCAATTGAAGTATATGCAGATATTGCATCTGGTGAAAGTTCTTGTATTCGGGTAGAATGTGTGAACTTAAATGCCACATTTTTATGTGATATTGCATATGGTGAAAGTTCTTGTATTCGGGTAGAATGTGTGAACTTAAATGCCACATTTTTACGTGACATATCTGTGATGATGATGAGCATGAATTAGGATCAGGTATGAGAATGTTTTTCGTTTGATAAAAATTGATATTTAATGTGTTATAAGTATGTTTATGTGATAGCAAATTTTATGATTATGTAGAAAGTGAATATCAAGATGAAGATGTTGATGATGATGAAAATGAATGGAATTTTTCAACAGATAGTTCATCAGATACTAATGTGGATGATCATCTTAATTCAATATTAAATACTCATGAAAATACACCACATGGTGGTATTATATATTATATAATTTAATTTATATATTTCATGAATAAAGTATATAAACTGGAGGATTTGGTTGTAATGCAGGCATGATTGAAACTCCGTTTTGGAATTCAAGTTTCCATTATACTTATATTAATTGAGAACATGCTGATCAAGAAATGGAAAATTTAGATGTTCATGTATATGAATCATGGAGGGAGACAAACATGGGAACCTATCCCAGACCCACATAACTAGCAATGAAGTCAAACCACCGATGGCAACTCTGTCAATGTTTGTTGCCATGCACAATTCTCTATATAAGAAATTAAGAGTTGCTCCTCCCTAACTATATTTCCCTGCGATGGTGAAGTCCTCAAGTAAAGGCAGGTATCGAACTGTGACTCTGCTGCTAGAATGATCTGCTAACATGAACCCTCCAATTAGTCTCATAGTATACGCTCTAGTAAATCTTGTCAGTTGAAGCTCGTTCTGATTATGCATAACAACATCAGTGAAATGTTGTTCTAACCAACGAAGCTTCAAATTGCTGCCCACAAAAGCCTTTGGTGGTGGCCTAATACCTAAACTATCCTCAACTATCTGCGGCCAATTACTGCCAGTCGCTGCAAATACTGGAAGTCCATTAACCCGAAGACCTATCTGTATGGCTATATCTTGAAGCATTATGGTGCACTCTCCTGGTGGCATATGAAACGTGTGTGTCTTAAGCCTCCATCTCTCAACTAATGTGGTAATCAAATGTCTATCCAATGGAAGTTGGTAAGTTGCGCCACTCTAGCAAAGCCAGCCAACTCTAAATGTGGTAAAATCTCTGCAGGAACACCGTCTAGACCAGCTGGTATAAATTGACACTTCCTAACCTTTATTATGGGATGCTCTCGACCATCCCAAATGTGTTCAGACACATGTATACTTTGAAAACGCAATAATGATGGGTCCTCTGAGCCTGGATTAATCACTAGACCTTGTGAAGAAGATGAAGCCATCTGATAATTTAAAATAAAATATTAATATTATTAACATATTATTAACAATAATAATAAATTAGTTTGACGCATCTTTCAATTATTTAAATACACAACACTAAATTTAGTCAATATATATACATAGTAAGGCTAAATATGCATAATGATATGGAACAAAAAAAATTAATAGTACGATTACATATAAATATCTAATATTATTTTATTTACATTATTTTATTATATATGTATATACATGACTGATATTTTATTTTACAATATAATTTCACTTTTATTTTTAAATTTATAATGATACAACCGTATTATTCCTACGACAATTTATATATTAGAGTTATAGTTTATCAAAGTTATAGTAGTTTAATATTGATGTATAGCAACATATTTATTAACTTACGTAAATAAATTTTAACAACTTTTTTATTAATTGTTTCCATTTAATATATCTAACTTAACCATATTCTTACTTTAATATAATTTATTTTTAATGTGATAACATAAATTTATTTCCTAACCAGAGTTAATATTAATCTAAAAAGTTATAACATTTTATAAATTATTTTAACTATATTTTTTATTATTACAGATGTCAACTTGTAAATTTTTTTAATAATATGTATAATTATAATTTTACGTAATTAATTTTTTTAAACAAAAGTTACTAATATAAATTTTATTTTACTATACAACAACCAAATATTTCTTATATATTTAAAATGTAATATGTTTTTATTTTAAAATTCAATTATTAATTTTTATGAATCTTGAAATAAATTATTTAAATAATTATTTTTTATACGATATTACATATTGATTATTTCAATTGAACCATATATATTTCATTTTAATTATCATTTAAATTCTCTCTTCATATCAAATTAAAAATAATTTTATTTTAAATTTTTATCATTAAAAATTTAATAATTTCTAATTTACTTGTAACATTTTTTCATGTACTAGTTACTATTTTTAAAAGTTTGTTTACTTAAAATTTTGTTTATTTCTAATAAAAATTATTCTACATTTTAAAGTTTTTTACTTTACAATTTTTTTCCTTTTAATTATGCCCCTAATTAATTTAAACAATAATAAAGTTTATTACAAATTTTAATAAATAATTCATGTTTTATTATGCAATTTTTAAGTAATTATGCATTTTACTATTTTATAAAAATCCTATACCATTAAAAAAATTTATTTAATAATTACAATAAATATTTCATCTTATTTTACTGACATTAAGTACAATGTTAAATATAATTTACTCAGTTAAATCTACATATATACATAAAATTCTAAATTTAATGTTAAACTACCCGTAATACAACAACATTTAATCAATTTTTAAATCTAATTTCCAATCCAAAAAAAAATTCACATATTACAATTTTTTTAAATAATATTATACAATAAAAAATTAAGGACTCAAATAAAATATAATAAAAATATATATAAAACTTCCATTCTTCACTAACCTCAGACCAAAGAAAATGGATTGGCATAGGACCGACGAAAATGGACTGCAATGTATAAAATTTCAAAACATGTAAAAACATAATTTTTTTTTACAAATAAAATAAAACTTATTTATTTCATAATGTTATATTTACCTTTGGATTTCTCTAAAAACACTGCATAATTGAAAACTTGATCAGAAAAATTTTAGACCAACAATGAAAATTTTTCTTGATGCCGGCGTTAATGGAGGGAGGGAAGGAGGAAGGGGAAGAAGAAGCCCGTTCGCGGCACCCGTTTCGACGAAGCCACGTGTCCATACCTCAAATAGTATCGCACCAAATAAGTCAATAGCCTAGTCCAGAGCTGATACAGCTACGATTTGAACACGTGTCCACTTTTTTCCCAAACCGTTGATTTCAAACAACTATCGTTGCTGGTGGGACGATACAAATCCATTTCTGACACGTGGCTACTATCGCATTTATAAGACTGATACTCTTTTTATTTTTATTTTTTTTATTTGTCCAATTCCACGTGTCAGGGTATATAGCTATATTGGACAATCTGAAACGATAGACTATTTAAAAATTATTAAAAAATTGCTATCGCCCATGCAGGTGCGAGACAAGTGCTGATCTAGTAAAAAATTAGCCTAAACAGAGAATATGTTTTAAAATAAATCCATTTCTAGAATTTATTTTATAAATAGTATTATTTAAATAAATTTACCTACTTACTGTCACTTCCTGAGTTCTTCCTCCAGCTTATTAATTTTTTAATGCTTTTTTTAAAAATATTAATTATTAAAATAAAACAAAATTTAAATTATTTTCACATAATTACTAATTTTGTTTATGCAAAAAATAAAATTTATTTTTTAATTAAGTTTTGTCAGAAAAGATATAATTAAAAAATTAAAATACATGTTAAAATTCTGTTAAATTTTGTTTATATTAGAAATAAAATAATATTTAAAAAAATTCAAATTAAAGTGGCTGAAGACAAGTATAATATGTGACGTAATTTTAACAAATTTAATTCCTAATACAAACGAGACTTAACTTCATGTCTAACACGAACAAAACTTGCAATATCAATGTGTCATTTGCACCACTACCCACTCAGTTTGACCACTATGCTTAGATAGACAAGATGTCACTTCAAAGAAGACTTTAACATGGAGAATTTCTTTGTCGGTAGTAGAATGCTGTGCCTTTTAACTATGTGCATGTACGTCTACACCAATGCATATTGATGAACAAAATTTAATATTATAAATTTAATGATACTTGGTTAATTATATAATTACATATAAACAACATATTTAAACTAAGACAAAGTTTATTCAGTATTTTAAATATATTAGTGAAAAAGTTTTGAAAAATATTAGTACATTTGTATCATAATTTTTAATTTTGTTTTAATAATTTTCTATTTATTAAATTTTTAATTAATACTTTAAATGAAATAAAATAGCAAAATTCCTATATGAAACATGTTAAATTAATAAATATCAAGTATAAGTTAATATAATTTTAATATTTTTTAAAAGAATAACTACTGTAATAATAGTTAATTACTTTGAGAATAAAAATAAGGTTTAAATACCTTAATAAGGCTAAATTCAAAAAACTACCTCAAATTTTTTCTTATTTTAATGCTTAACTAATTTTTTTTTTCAATTTTATATGTAACGTTAACCTCCGTCAGTTAAATGGTGACGTGACTAACAGTTTGCCACGTCACCATCGATCTCTCTCATCCACCTCACCCTAAACCACCACATCAGATTTCACGTCAACATTTTTGAATTTTAACCTAAAAGTTGCATTTGCATTTTGGGTTATGTGAGGGAAAGATGGCCAAATCTAAAACTGTAATTGAACAAGAAGCACAAAACAAAGATGCTGAAGAGGGAAAGAGGGTCAAATCTAAAATTATAATTGAAGAAGAAGCACAGAACGAAAACGCTAAAGATGAACTCGAAAGGAAGAAGCAGAAAAGAAAAAAGAAGGTTAGGGTTCTTTATCGTGTGTTGTCATTATCCATCTGGGGTTCCATTTTGATTCTTCATCTTAACGAAATGACTAGTGTGGATGGTTCATCGTGCTCATCTTTTGCATGAGGTGTAACTTGCAAATGTAAAAAGTCGGCTATAATTTTGACCTCACAGAGCAAGGATAATCTTGGTAGAAGGTTTTGGAGATGCTCTGATTGAAATGTAAGTTCAACTGGTTGTATTTGTTCTAAATTTGTGATTGTATTTACAAATTTGTTTGTATATGGTTTGCAGGAACCTAATTCTTGCAATTATTTTTGTTGGGTTAAAAAGCCTGTAGATGGAGATAATGAGTCTGTTATGATGAAAAAAATTCATACAATTCAAGAGTTAAAGGCAAAGATTGGTGATTTAATGGAGGTTGAAAAAAAAAATTGAGGAGAAATGGAAAAAACTAAAGAAGAGATGGTGAGACTTTAGCAAGAATGTGATAATCTCCATCAACAACTTGCATTAATGAAGCTTAAAATATCCCACAAAAAGAAAAAGATTGTTGTTAAGAGGAATAGGGTGAAGATTTTAGTATGTTTAGTGAGTGTGCTTTGGTTTTTCATTACCATTGTGAGCATTGTAGTGGCAATGAATGTTGTTGGTAGGAAAGTTTTAAATGTTGGCAGTTTGTAATTCAATGGAGTGAAAGTTGTTTTGAATATGGTTAAATGAATTCAATGACATAAGATTTATGCTCGTGACTATGTTCACTATGTTATTTATTCTGTTTAGCCTGTTGAATTTGGTTCAATGACATAAGATTTATGATGCACATTTGTAAACGAAAATCATGTAAAATTGATAAATTGATCTAAGCAGCAAGTAATTTATAACGTCTCGAATTTTGTAATATAAATTATTGATAATTATATAAATCTAAATGGATATTCATGTGTGTATTTTTAGATATATATTGTGAATATGTATGCGTACATATATATGTGTGTATGCATGACTGGATAGGTTGAAAATTGGCTAAGTGCCTAAGTGCGGGGCGTAACACTGGGTTGTTCTCGCTGTAGCGAGAGGGCCCTGGGAGAAAGGATCAGAACTGTCGCCTTCTTGCTATAGTGAGAGACGTCTCGTTGTAGCGACAGAGCGACAGTTTGGGGTATATTTCTGGGTGTAGTCTCGCTGTAGTGAGAGGGTCTTGCTGTAGCGAGATTCTGCAGAAACCAGCGTGTAATTTTCTCTAGTTTTTTCGCTGTAGTGAGAGGGCGTGTCGCTGCAGCGAGGTCCCCTCGCTGAAATGAGAATATCTCGCTGTAGCGAGAGTGTCGCGACCAAAAAGGGATTTAAAGGGGGTTAGGGTTCGGGGAGAGTTATTTCTCCCTCTCCCTTCGATCCTCTCATGCTCAAAGCCCTTTTCCACCGATTAAATTGCCTCTAAAGCTGCTCGGAAACTTGATTGAAGGTTGAATCCATGTAGGGAATGCTTGGAGGTAAGTTTTAATGGTTAGGGTTTTGGTTTTTCATTCCCTTTCTCCGTTTTCATGGT